ACGTATCCAATGTATGACAACAAATTAAAATTGAAGAACTTTGGACCCAAAATGTCCACACGTATTCAATGTATGACAACCAATTAAAATTGAAGAACTTTTGTTACATCGAAGTTTTGCTCCTTCCGTTATTGAAGTTCAGTATGTCGATCTATTTGCCATTCACCAACCCCAACTTAACAACAAAACCAAACTCCAAAGTTAGGAACCAAAGTTTATTTGCAATTCACAAATAATCGACCAAAATGTCGTTTGTCAATTTACAAATAGTCGACCAATGTCTTTCTTCAATTTTACAGGTTCCTGGAGCAAAAACTCCAAATGACCAAACAAAGACAAACAGAAATCAAGATGGTCGAAAATAATAAATCAAACAAGTTCATAAGTTAAGTAAAACAAATATACCCAAAAAACAGTGAAATTGATGATATTTTTCTAAAGGTTTTGATCAGCCAAATGTCTTCATTTCTCCCGTAACACTCATATCCCAGAATGCGCCTAACTGCATCACAAACTCCGAAACATTCGAGTCTAAAATTCTGAAGCCTAAAGGTGAAAAGGTGTTTCGACCGGAGACGAATATCATATGAACGAATAGCAACTGGGAACAACCAGAAGAGAAGGCCTTAGAGGAAGTTTGTTGAAGAATATTGGTTATGCTCAATGGACTTTGCCCTTAGTAGGTAAATTAAGTTTTGTGAGTCGATTAAGTTTACTTTTAGTCATCTGGGAATGCCATAGAGGAAGTAAGGGCGAGACAACTAGGATTCATAACTTATATACATCAGGCCGTAGTATAAATGCATCCACTGGGGAGTGATATGAAAATATGGTAAAATTACACCTTTGAGCGGAATATTTTACACATCGATCACCGAATGCATGCCCTAAATCTCAGCAACACATTGTTATGTATCTTTCTGAACGGTTTAAGCTGCCTTTTCAATGTTTTCTGTTAACTGTAGTTGAGCATGAGTTAATATTTAGCACTTCTGTTTTTGATTAGCGAATTGTAGCTCCATTTATTTTGGTTGCAGAGCCCTAATGTGTTGCTTTTTCACATTTTTTTCAGTGTTCAGAGTATAACTTGTCAATGTGCGGGTACCACATGATGCCAATTTTGATTGAAATCTGGTATCAAATAATATTAGATCACGATTAAAAACCTGAATTCACTGAACGGCCATTTTTCCATAGGATGGGACTCATCATCAGTGCGCATCCATCCGTCTCCCATGGGTAACTGACCCACTTATCTGAGCAGTATGGGAACATTACAGGAAATACTCTTAAAATACATACAATTTTTCACAGCCAATATGAGTAAAAACTTGACTACATATATTAGTGAGTGAACTTGAGATCAAACATAAGCTAACAAACAAGAATATTTTGTAGACATTTTTTGTTCTTAAAAGCTTTAAGTAGTAGCGTTAATCATTTATCCTCCTATTAAATTCCACAAAAAGGGTCCACATTTATTTGAATTCCGTGAAGAATTGAAGTTGTCGAGTATGAATGTCGCTTAATGACGCTCATATCTGAAACGTCGTTTATTCGTGAATACGAAGGGCATTTGGACCTGGAGTAATAAATCAATGGATTAAAAGGTATGTTTGAAAAAGAAGTTGAGGTGAACGTGATCTAAGCTGACCAATCCATGGAAGATTTGGGCAGTATGGTATACCCAAACGTGATGTGTTGCGGGTGATTAACTGTTCGCATTAAGTTGGAGATATAAAAGTTGTCTCCTTTCAATCCTTATACATTAGTCTGGATACTTGCCGATTTAACCAGGAGCCTGTGAATTTATTACCAGATCATAGCTCATTTACCTCATCAATTCTTGTTATATGCAGACCCGGCTCTACCTCACAGTCGTTAACTAGCTCGTCGTAACGCAACCTCTGTAACTTGCGCTAATTATTTTTATTGTACATGGAAGAGTCTGCAAAATTGTCTATAATATTATGTGGAAAACTTAGGCCATCTATATTAACCCAATATATCTTGTGAAATGTTTCAGTAACTATACACCGTATTAAAAGAAATATGTTGCCAGTATTAACGTGTCGATCTTGCCTGTAAATTAGCATGCCCCATGTAACATATTTGTCATTTGAGGATAAATTATTATTACTATTATTATTGTGAGTACTAAGTCGGACAAAGGCAATCATTCCAAATCAGAATCACCATGCGGCAGGTTCAGCTGTCTTAATCCACTGTCCTCTTCCTAGTTACTTCAGCAGCATACACACATTCATTCATTCTGTTTGGGACGTTAGATCCCCAGAACTAGCGTGATAAGTGCTTTAGTTTTGGATATCATGTTTTCGAGCACAGGCTGATCAGTTGACCTTGAGATCGCATTTCCCACTAGGAGAATCATTGGCTGTGATTGTCTTCAGTGTTATTTTAGTTAGCTATTTTTGTGACCCTCCCAAGGACGTATCTATGATGTATAAATCAACGCGATTTGTGCTTGAGATTCATTGGGCATCCAGGGTGTTTGTAGAATATACTTTCGACGCTATATCAAGATTTTTCGTCAGTCAACGGATCATTTTCTCGTTCTCGTTTATCGACTAAAGTGAACCCGTAATAGTTTCAAGCATACCTAGTGCCAATCACAACACACTCAAAAAAACAAATGACTTATGGACAAGTTATTGGATCCAAGTGAAGTTGCTTACTTGGGTACGGTTAAAATTTTGGAGTAATTTCAGGTTTTATTCACTGAATTTTTATTTATTATTTATTTATTATTTATTTATTTATTTATTTATTTTCCTCTTCCAATTATCTCGTTTTTTTAACCTTTGAAACTCTCAGGTATCATATTAAGTAGTGAGGTTGCTATAACTTCTTACACAATAACAGCTATGAAAACCAGTTAAAATGTGGATTACGAGCATATTAGTGAGTCGAAATTCCCAACAATGAGCGAAAGAGTTGTGGAAAATATCAAAAAGTCACTTGATTGCGCGCCTCGGAGGAATGTTCACAAATCTGTTCAGTCGACCCGAACACATGCATTGGGCCCTCAGCATAGAAACGGAGATGACACTCTTCGGATTCTTACTCCTAAAATGACCGGTAGGCAAAAAGAGAATGGAAGAAAAGGCGACCGGAGGCTCGACTGACACAGTCTATTGTTCAGAAATTACTCGATGGCAATGAAAACCAATGACTCTGCTTCCGAATGCAACTAATGTAGTACATGGGTCCATTGCCATTACGACACTACAGCACCTATAGAGTACAATGGGTTTATGCTGAGTAACTCCTATCTGTTGTTCTGGTATAACTGTCCACAGTATAGAATCACCGAGAGAAAAAAAAGGTAGCATTTGCGAAGCAACAGGTCCCACTGAGAACCAACCTATGATTCCCTACAGGTAAACTTAACATGGCCAGCACCAAATCAACCAGTACAGGGCATCCAATAGCAAACTATTATGGTAGTTAATAGTGTGCCCGAATTAGTGAAGGTCTCTCTGAGGGATTTCGACCGTAGTTCCAAGTTGGCATTGAGAAACAGATGCAATTCCAAAGTTCGATATGATAGTAGACCTTTTCAGATGAAGCTAGCTGCCGTAAAACAGAGAAAACCAAAGCATCTGTCTAGGTTCATGACAAAGAGAAAACATATAAACTCGAGTGTTTATGCACTCAAATGTTCAAATGACGAAGATCTCACCAATGTAGGGATAGCTGAGATCCTCAACACAAACTTCACTGATCAAATAAACCAAGTAACCGCACATTCACCGTAATGCGCAAATATTGTTATATTCGACTAACTGGTGTCCTAGTACTAAGAAAATTAAAATCCTTCTATCCTGGAAAATCACGAGAATTCGACGGTATTCTACCCATAGTCTTGAAACAGTACGCAGGAGCCCTCAGTTAACCGATATTTGACCCTTATAGGCATTCACTGCAGTCACACCAATTCTCAGCTCAATCGCAACAAGCTGCTCTCTCCAGTCTTTCCGAAATTAATTAACGATCTGTTAGACACAGTTAGCTCAGTAGCATTGACCTACGCAGAAGATGCAACGATCTGGAGGTCTATTATAATCGAAGAAGATTCGACTGAGCTTCGAAAGGACATCTCATTCAGTGAAGAATGGGGAGTAAAAAAAGAGTTTAAAGCTAAAACAGTCGACCCGCGTGATACAAACGACTTACACTCTCAACGGAGGTGTGATCCCTATTGTCTCCTAAGAGCGTGATCTTAGTTTAATAACCACTGAAAGCCCCGACATCAGTTTGAACTATTTAGGGGACGCAGACAAGGCAAACGCAACTTTCCCCTTAATGCGAAGACAACTTGGTGCTATCATCATCCCAACGTGAGCATCTGACCGAGGCATCACCACCACTCCTCTCGCGGTAATCCTCAAAAAGTTGCGTATCAAAGAGCTAAAAACCATTTTTGTGCAGCTAGGAATGCTCTCCTTGCAGAGGTAACCACAGCCTACTCAGTGGACAGCTTTAAGAAGAGATTTTATGAACACGTACTGACATATGGATTATCATATTCCTCGCGGGGCGGCTGTGGCTGATGCATGTCTTCAGCCTTGGCAGTGGTTATTATTGCCATCTCCAGATCACTAACTCAATCTATCTCGCTTATTATCTCGGTTTCCTCTCTCTTGCGTACACGCAATCTTCACTACCACTCGGGAAATTAGATTTTATTTTTATTTACTTAATTCTGAAACCATCTTCGCATTAGCATTAGAATTTTCTCCTTATCATCCTTCACATTGCAACTAACTGATCTTCGGCCAGATAAAGTGATAGCCGCTTGTATTCAGAAACCCTACTGCCCTGAAACAAACGTACACAATCTAAACACGAGACTTACAAGCTCAAAAACTATTGTCTAATGCCAACAATAAACACCTGGAGTCGTACAGCAAGGACAATAATCGAGTTCAAAGCAATCAGTTGGTTTATACTATCTCGTGAAAAAGGTATTGGACATTGGATATGGAAGGTTGTTTATGCTTCTGTGCCAAACTTGAAATATCTTCATGTCTGCGGAATTATGCGACACTGGTATATTTAGCAGTGAGGATTGTTCTTTACTTTCTCAACTAGATAGGTAAGTGGCATAAGCTACGCTTAAACTTTCTTATATTTATTTATGTGAATACTGGTGTGCTGACACCTGAATGTGTTATAAGTCAGTTTGCATTACGTCCTTAGATCCCGAGTGTTTTGCACCGCTAAACTGTGCAGATTATCATGTTTCTACTTTGAGTTGTTCGTTGTATCTGAGAAATAAGCGGACTGTTTTAGTTTTTCATTCTCTGGCGAAAAGTTACAGCTGTCAGTGTAAACCTATGCATATATCTGTCTAACGTAACCAATCATCGTTCTGTCACTAGGTTTCGGTCAATATAAAAGATAAGTCTTAGGACCTTGGCTTGTTGGGATCTTTGGCCTTCTGTCCGATGTGTTGGTCTACAGAGTACAACTAAGCCATTGAAGTCAATAGGATTGTTCACATAAGGTTGTAAACGTGAAACCTCAATGTTACTTTCATCATGTGAAGTTAGTATAATGCATATATCTGTGATTCCAAACTTTTTACTTGAGTGACGTTTTTCACTTTGAGAACTGACCACATATCGTTTTCGGTTAACCGTTGACCGTGTTAGAATATATCGCTTTGCTAATTGACATAACTTTACCTAAGTATACATACTGAAGTTACGTCGTGCACCGGTAGTTTTAAAAATATTTATACATAGTTAACTTGTCAAAATTTCTTTGCTTTCAAATTTTGTTTGATATTTAAGTAAATTAAAGATATTTACTGTACTATGTGGTCATAGAAATAAAATGGAGTCACTTTAATAGCCACTGTAGTATAGTAAAAGCTCTCAATCGAATACAACGATAGTATATCCTGTCTTGAGAAAAAATCATGAGAGCTGGAAATGATAACCTTATCAAGGGTATGGCTCGCTGATTCCTGAAGTTGTGGAGATAATTCTGCTTTCCGACCAGCCTCGATTTTCTCTGAAGATAAATGACCATCAACAGACTTTTAATCCTAAATGGTTAGCAACTTACATCTCAGTGTGAATATCTGCTCACGAGTATCTGTGTGATATGTCTTCAGCACATTTAAAGTGTAGGGTTTTCTGTGGATAGTATGACGCTCTAATTGCACTCGCGTTTACCACGTTCTAAACTGGACTCCATCTTCATTATCCGATATTTTTTCTGACAAGAGTCTGTACCTTCACTCATACTTCAGATTGAACCTTTAAAAATAATGTAAGAGTTCGAATATTAAGGTAATTGTATGTACTTGTGGTGGAGCAAAGTGAATCATTTTAAGGATTCGTAAATACATCATTCCTTTGATTGCTGTTTATAACTTGCTGTTATAACTTAAGAGAAGTTGTGATCTAATTTGACTCTGTTCCTTAGCAACCATCAGAGTTTCCTGCTTTACTTCTGCTCTTTAGTCACCAATGTTCTTGAAATATTGTTCAGGCATAAAGACTACTGAATGAGTTCCAACCGATTTACATTTTTACTAGGTCGTACGTCGTTCACCACTTTTCCACAATAATGGATTGTATCACTGACTTTAATCGATGCAGATTCATCTGAATTTACTTCCAAATATTTCAGTTAACAACTCAACGTTTAAAGTACTCAGTCACAATTTTGTTTTAGAGATACTTTTAATCAAAATCAGTACGTCAACTGAGATAACTCTAAAGATGCGAATTCTTATCGAACTTGTTCCGCTCTCCACATTTTAATAACAAATCAAAAATACTGTTTCGTAAGACCACTGAAATACCTGAATCTAGGCCAAGAAAAACAGATTTTTTAATGAGTGCCAATTCGTGTAACTTTTATCGTAGTCATATAATCTCATATGTCCACTCCAAACGATAAAGGCGATGGCATATTCAGATAATGTCAGATTTCCAACGGATGAAAAGTTCGTTTGAGAATTATTTTTTTTCAGAAATGAAACTTGTCATTTTGCAATATGAGATAGTCATTAAAAACAAGATTTTTATTTGAGGTACATATGCTGGATAAAACATCACCCATAGCTTTAAAAGTGTAGAATTGAACAATTTAGGTCTGTATAGTGTTATTTTATTACTTTTTCAGCTTGGAGTTCGGTGTTTTTAAACTTGACGCTCCCGAGTCACAAGAACGTCGTAAACTATTAGAAAAGGTGACTGATGTTATTTACTTGTTATGCTTTTCAACAGGCCGTTGACTACTTTGATAGTATAATTGCTCAGGCTGTTTTAGAGATCGAGGAAGAGCGTGCTGTAGAGGAAAGCGAAACTCTTACTAAAGTTGAATCGGGTATTATAGAAGGGAACCCAAATTCACTGCGATACAAAATATATGAAAAATACTCAGAACGACTCGACAAACTTATTGAACCACAAGTTTATCTACATCTTGGCCATTTTCAGCTTCTGCTCAATCGTTTTGATGATGCCCTTTCTGCGTATCTTAAGTTTGAATCACTTTGTCCAAAGGAATCTTCGACCAACTGCTCTTTTTTGTATGGCTTAGGTTTATGCTGTTTTCGCTTCAACGTATTCAATAGGTACGCTGCTCACTTTTATTTTAGGCGTTTTTATGTTGCAGGACTATCAGGCTTTTTCAACAAATTTTATATTTACAACCGTGGTTCCCAAAGTGTAAGGAGATACATATTCGTCTGGGCTATATATACAAGGTACAAAATAACTTTGAACGAAGTTTGAGACATTTTCGACAAGCTTTGAACGATTCCACACCTGCTACATTTAATCGAGTTGAATGTTAGTCTGACTTACAATTAACTAACATAACTGTAGTACGTTTTCATATCGCCCATCTGTTTGAGGTGTGCGGTAAACCTAAACAGGCGAAAACTGAATATTTTCAGTTATTGGATGTTGAGAAAAGTGGTGCTCCGTCACACATCCGACACCTTTGTCTTCGGCAATTAGGTATGTCGCACTTTAAAAGTATTTATTCTCTCTTAGTGTTTCGATTTTTAACTACCTCGATTATCTAGGTTGTATTATTATCCATGCTGTATTATTTCGGGTTACGTACTTCTGTTTCCATATGAATAACATGTAGTGTTTGAAGTATGCAAAACAAATGGATTGCTTTTTGTTGTGAATGCAACATTAAATTAACAGTAACAAGTCTCACTGTAACTTTTAAGAGTTCTTCTGGATGTGTGATTAGCATGTATCCGTGCTGAGATTTCGTCAGTCACCTGACCATCAGTACTGACCAGACTCCCGAGATAAGTGAAGCGGTCGAAACACTCGACTACTTCACTCCCTACCACTAGTTCAGGTGCCAATACAACCCAATCCTAAAGCAACATTTTACATTTCGACGGGGAGAATCGCATCGCGAACATGCTTGCATTGTTGCTTAGGTAGTAAGTAGACCCTGTATTTTGTCAGCGTCTTCACCTAATAGGACTATTTAGTCAGCTACTCTAAGTCAGCTAGCGTGTCTCCTGGTAAATGGTCTACTCCTGAAAAGTCAGACGGAGATAAAGTTAACTCTAAAAGCATGCCTACGACATAGTGTTCCTCTAGGCCCTACGTTTTTAGGCAGGTCAGTTGGAAAACGGTAAGACTAAAAGCATCAACTCTAGGTCTGAGGCTGAAGTCGTATTGCTGACTGTAGAGGGGTGTGACCACAGTAAGGTGTTTGCCTCGGACCACCAGCATTTGCAGCAATGCTGCCTTCGCACAAAAAAGGAAGGTGTTAAAAAAGCTCGACTCTAGAAATGTCACTCCTCACCATACCCTACGGAATTTCCGTCTCCGGTGGTAAGGCTATTTGAAGAGAGGAGCTAATACTTTAAGAACTTCTCATAAAAAGGCCGTGAGTGGTCGGCCTCAAGTAGTTATCCTTTGGACTCTGCGGTCACGTTCCCAGGTCTCTAAGACCAACGCTAATGTAACTTCTTTTTTAGGCTACTCAGGAAACACGCTCCCATTGTATGGGCAGCCGGAAAGTGACATCGGTTTTCATACCCGAAACAGCACACAATATCAACTTGGTCACAATCAAATCCTTCCTATAACTCTTAATAACTCTCTTATTTGCACGACTAACTCTTCTCTTATCTTTTTATCACCATGGGCCACTAACGCGAATGATTCGAGTACGCGAAACATTATTCCTGGTCTCCTGAAACCTCATTCCAAACAATTTTCTGGAGCTTTTAATGTTCGAACCTTGTCCGAATAAGATAACAGGCTTTCTTAGCTGAGTCTCCGAAACACGCTCACAGGATCCGAGTAGAGTTATTTGTTTGACCTCTCCTTGTCAAGATAAAGAACCATCTTGATAAGGAACGTAGTCAGCTTAAACACAACCTGGTAAGAAGCCTACGTACCGGCAGCGGACAGTTGTGGTTAGCGAGAGCAAAAGAGATGGAAAAGGCAGCGGCGATAGTTAACAGTAGACAGCTATCCAGACTCTCGAAAAAACATGGAACTATTATTCTTTTTCAATCCAGGAGATAAGATCGACTGGTTCAAGCTGTCTTCGGCCATACTTCGAGTACCAGTGATGCCCAATCGACCTAAGTGGCAAATTGATATAGGTTAAAGGAAATCTGAAGCGAGGTAGAGCGCCAGGCCCTGATGGAATAGCCCTAATATTTTTAAGGACGATGGCCCAGTCTTAGCAGTGAAATCGACTGAGATCTCAGCTAGAATTTAGGGACTGGACATAATCCCACCAGACTGGTCTCAACCACTGATTGTCCCAGTCTACGAGAAAGGAAATATGTCCTCATGTGACAATTTCAGAGGAATCAGTTTAACTAATGTAGTGTCCAAAAGTTTAGCCCCGATAATACTCAGACGCCTAACTAGAGTTCATGATGAGCAGACTAGAGAGCACCAAGCTGATTTCAGACCTGGATGTGACTGTATAGACCAGATATTGACACTTCGTCAGGTCCTAAAACATAGGCACGCATTTTGACGTCCGACAATAGTTGTATGCTTCGACCTCAAGGTGGCACTCGACTTTATTGATCATGAGACTTTGTGTCAGTGTTTGTCACTGGAAAAACTATCAGAGAAGTACATTAATCTTATACTAGCTCTTCACTCGAACACTACTGATCGAGTGGGAGCTTATGGTGAACTGTCATCAGAATTGTTTACATCGAGTGATGTTTGTCAGGGCTGTCCACTTTCTACATTCTTAATAAACGTTCTCAATGACATGGTTTTAGAGATGACACTTTTATTGTCTGACTTTTCAAGAGTTGACCTTCTACTAGGAGATTCACCTGTTTACTTAGAATATGCCGATGACAGTTCTATTTTGTGAAGTCGTTGAAAAAATGCAGCGTCTTCTGACTACCCTAAGCAACAATGCAGGCATGTTCTGATTCCGATTCTTCCCGTCGAAATGCAAAATGTTGCTTCAGGATTGGTTTACATCGGTACCGGAACTAGTGGTAGGAAGTGAAGTAGTTGAGTGTGTCGACGAGCGATGTTTTGTGTTGTACGAATAAGTTGGAAGAAAACTAGGGGCGGCCAAACCAAAACATGGTACAAATCCATGAAGTCATTGACAAGTGGACTGAGTCATGTTGGTAGATGCAGGCTACGTGGTTGGAGTCCGCGAGACGAAAGTCACCGATGGTTAGATACCTTGAATGACATAACTCAAAATCGTTTGCAATGGTGGAGGTGCATCCACTCTTTGTGTTCTGTCGAACTCTAATCTTCTGAATTTCTCATGACCTTTTTTCTCTTAAATTTGTTTCAGTGGGATATACTTCTCAAATCATATTTTCGAACTCTATTCTTTTCCTTAACTGATTATACCTCTGCCACTTCTTTTTCTTTGGTTTTTGAATTGACAATTCGATCTTTCTTTGTTAATATGAACTTGAACTGACGTACATACTTACGAAGTTCTATATTTTAGGCGATTGGGGTGTTTGGTGGTTTCTGGATGCCTCATCGCATCTTTTGCAGTCGTTCTCTTATTGTCCTTCCGTTTAACGTTTATTTCAACAGTAACTGGGAAATAACTGCAGGATCTAACGATATTATCTTATCGGCAAATATCCATATATATATATCAGCTACATGCTTAAATTATAGATATTCTCATATTGAACTCTGTTTATTTTAATAAATGTCTTCATCTGTAGGACTAGAACTAGGTGGTTCTAAAATTTAGGTTTGTCGTTAAGTACATTTACTTCTGATGACCTATAATAAATTAATCCAAATATTTAAATGATACGAAGAAAACCAGTTTCACCAAAAATCCTAAAGGAAGTAAAATCCTCTATGCCTACTTAGAAAAATTCTGTATTTTCAACAACTTAATATCTTTTTTCTAGTACTAATTTGTAGATTGGGAAAGATCACAGTTACTGTCGAGAGTTAAATATAAACGAAGGTATACCATACTGTAGGTTTCATATTTTGGTTTGTTGTAGGCATTAAAAATTGTAAATAATTGTTGGTTATGTAACTCAAACACTATCCTAGTGTTCGTTAGAATTTACCGCTTCTTTTGAACCGTATGTAACAAAAATCTATCGTGCTTAGTAACTTGGTTAGTTGAACCTTTAACATTGAAAGATATCCAGATATAAACAGTACTTATGTCTCTCAGCATGCTTGGCATATTCATTTATGTTCAAAATTTTCCTTGACTCCTTTGCTTTTGTTACTACTACTGTCTTTAAGGTTAGATACATGGTTTAGATCATTAAAGCAAATAATCCCTTAAATCTAGGGATCTATGTTTGTTGGTAGGTTTATTGCATATCAATATGGTAAGTTTTCGAAAGTGACTTTCTGATGGAAAATTGCATGTTGTATCATGAAGGATACTAGGAGAGTTAGTGAATCAGAAACGGTTTTAGAGTTTTAAATTTGAATTGAAAATCAATAAATAGAAAATAATGTTACACATATTTTAAGATTTTTTTCTCATCTAAGGTTACTAATCATGAGAGTTGACTCGGATGTTAAAGCATTTGACTTCCGAACAATAAATTGCAGGCTCCAAATACCCACCTGCTAATGCTTTGTTATGCGGGTGGTATTAGATGTGAATTTTGCAAAATGAAAGACTCCAATTTTAAGTCAAAAATGTGTTAATTACTGTATTTCAGCTTGGCTTCATCACACAGGAGCTTTTGGCTCCAAACCTGAATCGTCAAACGAAAAAGGCCTAGATGTTCAATGGCTTCAAAGTGCTTTAGAACTAGATAACTCCAATGGCAAAACGTGGTACTTATTAGGTCGTTGTCAAGCTGCTTTAAATCATGTTCAAGAGGCTTTCGCAGCATATAGAAGTTCTATAGACAAAACGGAGGCTAGTGCTGATACCTGGTTTGTTTATAAATTTTCGTTAGTTTGAAACTGTACTATTTTCAAAAAATGATGTTTATTCTTTCGAAACTATCATGACAAATTGTTACTGACGTAATTTAAAGTAGTTATCAGCTAATGTTGCTGATGATAATACATACAACGACTATCTTAATAGTTATAAAAGCGTCAGAGCGGCTGGCATAGGTGTACAGTAGTTTCTTCAGATTCAGTCAGGCCATATTCATGTGAAATATTCAAGATTATATAGCACAACTCTATTCATTTATAGCTTGATGGGTTAAGCAATATGCTCTACAAACTTTTAAGTCTGGTTTGGCAATAGATTTTTTTACATCTGTATATTTCAGTAAATACATGTGAGAGAATAGGGGTTTCAAAATTTTCTCTTCTATGTTCTCTGAGTCAAATGGTATAGTTGAGGAGCTTTTTCGTCTTTCTGGACATCATCAGCGCTTACTTCATGTGGTAATGAATTGTTTAGTTAATTCTTTCTGATGCAATTGTTCGCGACTATTTTACTTCGAAGGTACCATAGTCTTTGTTTATCATTCTATTTCGGTTGAATATCTTGTTCGGTTGATCTCTAACCATGTGGCTGACTGAATGTTTTTCGTTTGAGTTGGTGGACGCCGTCCATATCAATATGTCTATTTTTGGCCTATTAGTCTTAGCACCACACTTTAGACATATTGTGAGATCCTTAGGATCTCATTAGTCCCGAATCCCAAAGTTTTTCCAGTCGAATTCGTGTTTTTGTTTATATGTGTATTATTGCTATTGATAACGTCATGTTTCATTTCATGTGTAGGCTGTACTCGTGTATGCATAATTAGAAAGAGGAGTCGATTTTTCCCACTGTGTTGTGTATCTCATTCGATATAATGAATGATAATGTATTTTTCTTGTTTAATTATTTTGTCTTTCTATCTGTATGAAATAGAGTCAAGTTTGTAAGCGATCTCATTTTCAGAGTTTTGAAATCCTTATGTTGATTTCTTAGATGCTTTTCACGTACAGCAGAATGATTAATTTCTCGGTTTCTGAGGCTGATTTTGTTATGGTGAGTTGGTTCTTGAAGGACCTATAAGTGAAGCTCCTGGAGTGGCCATTTTTCCGGAAAACAGACATAGGTTTTTACAACTTCTCACGTAGAGCTCTACTGTGAGTTTTCGTTTTCTCTTGCTCTGGCTTTTCGTTAAGAAAAATGGCCACTAGAAAGTTCGATTTGGTTTCATGAAGTATATTTATCGTCAGAACGTTCAACATTGACATGAAAGTTTCTCTTTGATTTCTCCTTTCCTAAAATTTATCCTTATATACCATGCCACTCTATATTTATCATTTGGAAAATTTTTATCGGGCTCCTATTTCGCGACCTGTTGTATACGTATGACAACCAGTGCTTAAAACCCGTGGACCTAATAGTCTTCTCTAGTCGTTCTTTCGTATTCTTACACATTTACAATCATTGGGTTTGGATCTTAAGTTCTTTTCAGAGTATTCAGCAATTCTTTATACTAATGTTTACATGTTTTAGCTGCCGTTGGGAATGTAATTTTTTACTGTAAGCACAAATCCGTTATCCCCTATTCATTAATTTGACGCTCCAGAACATTGGTTAAAGAACCGTTCGATATAATTCCAGACCTTAAAAACGTTTTTCAATGTATAATATTTTCGTGGAGTGATAAAATATGTTTTATTGTTGGGTTTCGGACGTCATGATTTTCTAAAGAAAAATGTATTAGCTGAATGATATTCAAACGAAGTGTTAAATCAATATTAATACAGTTGTTTTGAACCCAAACATTAATAGAAAGAATATTTCTAGCATTTGATCAAAATGACTCTAAAAATATTCCATCTTTTTCTTCTCATTGTATGCAATATTGCCTGGCTTATTCAAATGATTGGTAACAACCATTTTACTATACACATCGATAGTAATATAAGGAAATAGCTATCTTATATACTAATTTCTTCCGTTATCAAAAATTTTTTGTGAGTTCCTTGTTTTGCTTCTGCGATTGTACACTCTTTGTTATCCTTAAACATTTAATTAGTGTGTTTTATAATTCTTCTATAACCCTTTTTAGGTGCTCCATCGGTGTGCTCTATCAAGAGCAAAGTCAACCGATGGATGCTCTTCAAGCATACTTTTGTGCTGTACAACTAGATAAATGCCATATTGCAGCTTGGGCGAATTTGGGTACTTTATATGAAAGTATGCAACAGTATAAAGAAGCCTTAAAATGTTATAAAAATGCTGTAAACGCTGATAAACATAATGAGGTTAGAGTTTGTATTGTTATTTACTATTTTTAAATCTCATAGTCAATTTCGTTTGAAGATCAAATACAGTATTTCTGCTTACCTAATTAGCATCATTAATTGAAGACGTAAATTTATCGGTTATTGGTTGACATCTATAAAGTATCAGCGAAGTTTTCATGTGTATGATGAACTCAAGCGTAGTACTGTTTTTTTCTTTGATAAACTTAAGACACTCCTTCTGAACACCATTTGCAACACGACGTTCAAAACACGTAGTGAGTACTTCACTGTGATTGTAGGGTTGTAGAGATCGTTGAGTTTAATTGAAATCGTGTATCGATCATTATTAACTCACCATTCAAAACCTAAAAGCACTGAAGGTCCTCTTCGCTGTAGTATTTGACTCAGTAGTGAGTGTCCACTTTGCCACAAGCGCGAACCGAATCGGTCCCGCACAAAAATGCTTAATTTCTTGACCACTGAGTCGGTATCAAACATTGTTGATGTCTAGCTTCAATCAATCCACGATATTGTGCAACCTCATCCATTGTCTTCGTTGCACACTGTGAGATAATTTATTAACACGGGCTTTGTATCAAGTGGTAGTTGTTTAGTTTCTCCTTTCCAAATCCTAATAGATTTATTAGTTTCGGTTTTCCATTGGATAAGTATGCAGAAAAAGTTTTTCTCACAGGTAACAATGGTTCTTGAATTCGAGCGGTAGATGATTATTCTTGATCACATCCCTTAAGAGATATAATATTCATCAGATGCTACTAGTGAGTTTTTAATGTGCATCACAAACCTCATCGCTATCAGGTAGAGCTGTATTTACGGGAGTTTTAACCACAAATAAAGCGATTATTGTTTTAATTTCTTCAATTATATGCATAATTTGATGTACTCTGTGGAGCAAATTATCAGTAAAACTTTTGCACGAATTGAATGTTCTGATATTTTTTTGTCAACATGAAGTTCTTAAGCTACTACCATTATTATGTCATAACACGAAGCATAATTTTTCTGTCAATCAATCAATCAATAGCAACGTGGGACTTCGTACGTACGTACATCAATTCATGTTGCCACACCACATTAGCACAGAGATGTAATTGTCAATTCAAATGCCATTGTAGTAGAGGTAGTAAAGGTATTAGCAGTAGTCGGAGAGGTTAGGATTAGAAGATATTATTCAGGAAGTAGAATCTAGTGAAATAGACTTAAAAAGATAAGGATAAAGTGATGAAGAATTTTTCTGTAGTCTAAATTGTTTACTTGATCCATTTAAATCGGATATATGCTATGTAGGTTACGGATTATATCTTGAAGATCCTTATAAATCGTAGATTTAGTTGGTTTTTTAAATTTATTTACACATTCAAAGATTTTTTCTGATAATAGAATGAATTATTATAATGCTACAGGATTATATGATAAACTCTTCAATGTTACTCAGCGGTCAGGTAAATGCTCGTATGGTTAACCTTCAACCATATGTTTTGCTGCTGGGTTTAGTTAAACTATTTACTTGTCTAATTAAAGCCAAAGCAAGAGTGCTAGGGTTGAAATCTGTATTTCCATGTTATGGAATTTTATACTTATCATAAAAAAATTTTTTTCAATTTTATTTCTCGTAGAGGCTTAAACTGATTTAGAAGTGAATTTACCACTGTCTATATGATGTTTTCAAGAATAGCATCTGATTATACAGAAATTCATTTTTATTGCAGCTGCTTACTCTTTCTCAACTTTTTTTTAGGTTCGTCCAGAGATTCGTTCTCGTTTAGCCGTGTTACAACAGTTAGTTCCAAAACTGTCAGATAAAGTGACAGGAAACACGTTTAATGGTCCTAACAACAATAATGTAACATCTAACCAAGTTGGTAACGGATTTGGTGCTGGTTGTGGTGGAATAACGAAATTACCCACGGTGGATGAGGCATGGAGCCTACCTATACCTGCTGAACTAACTCAGCGACAACTTCAACTGATGTTACAAGAAGCAGCTGCCGGTGATGCTGGAGGTGGTTCGTTTAAGCGTTCTGAGAGGAATTTAGCTGGCCTTTTGTTAAATCCAACCTCCCAGTCAGTCCTTAGAAAACGTAGTAGTTGGCTCCAGTCTGAGGTCAACGGTATGATATGCTTCGTTTTTCATAAAATGGTTTCATATACGAACTTCTTTAACTAAAGAATTCTTTCTGATTGTATATTCCTTGACTAACCTGCATCTCCTATTACTATTTTCTTGCTCTCATTCACTAATTTCATCAATTTTTTTTTATCGTACTTACCTTTTCCCTATTTCCTCACCATCCCGTTAACTATTTTGTGCCTTATATTTATTTAGGTGCTCGGTTGTACCAAAATTTATGTGTTCGAATGAGCAAGCAACTAAATAATACTCTTATCTGATGTCTTGTGACGCGAATCAGTTTGCAAACCGTAGTAGATTTGAACCTGTATATCATAGTCGTATTCAATGTGTTATTACCAGCAACCATATATGACTCAGTATGTAAGGCGTTGGCGGACATGCTTTTGTTTTATTTTACCTTTTTCATATAAGTGAGATGAATTTCTGTATCTGAAAGAATTCTTTCTGGTTGTGTTTTCCTTGACTGAACTGTTTCTTCCATTATTATTATTTTTATTTCATTCCTATTTCCTTATTTTTACTAGTTTACTCTCACTTCCTTAATTTATCTCTTCGCAACTTCATTTTTATTAAATGACGCATCCTAGAGTTTGGTTCTACTTTGTTCCAATCTTTGTGTTTTAAATAAACTAAATAGATACCTGGTTTGACTGCATTATGACTACATTCATGTTGTATGCAAATTTTTTTTATCCAGTTTATTAGTTACGAAATTATGTACGTTTTGGTAACTTTTATGTTCATTTTTTTCGGTTTAAAAGAAAAATGGTTGACATATTTTGTAATAGTAAAAACCCCAATAACAAACGTGTAATAATTGTTGGAATTATCATATATTATTTTATTTAAGAAATTTCACTTAACTAAGCAGACCTATAATAATAAAATATGTCATTTTATCAAGATTCATGTTCACAGTGTTGAAAAATTTCGTTAGTTTTGGAGAAAATTTGGCAGTTGTTGGATGGGTGAATTAATGAATATAATTCTATCAACCTGTTATTTTGACAAAGGTTGGAAAATACCTGTTTGCATATCATTTTTCGTAGGATTCTGTAATTAATTTTATGCTTACCTTTATTGCATTTTTCACTGAAGATGTATACTAAATGCAAACCAAACGCCTGCATTTTTGTTTCATGTAGTTAAATGACATTCATTACTTTATTAGGTAGCTATTTCACTTTTAGATTTTTCTGTATGTGTATTTTGCTAAGTGCTGTCAATTTTTCGTGGTATATGCTTAAGATGTTATCTCGGCATCCCCAGTTTACTGATTTTGGATGTAACTATGATATTTTTAGTTTTTGGCTAATAATCCACTTTCACTATTTTGTTTCATATTTTAGGTTCCTGCGAAACTGAGGTAACTGATGAGTGTGGAGGTTCTTTACCCAAAAGATCTCGTCATAGTGATCGATCCCCTTCAGTACCTGTGCAACCGTTAAGCAATCAACAGCTGCAACTGTTACGTTCCCTACAGGTAAATGGATGTATTGATTTTGAGTTATTTTGGTTGATCGTCAATATTTCGCAGTTTAAAACTTCACAAAATAAAAATCTATAACTACGTGCTTTTATTTTGAATGTGTTATACTTTTCATCTGAATCTTAGTTAATATAAATTTGACGATTATTTGATTGTTCTGCCTATGTTATTCTGGATACCTAAGTAAAGATCTCGTTTCTATTTTTGAATGGCATAATAGACAATCGAACTTTTTGATTGCTGCAAATGGCCAAGCATCTTCTGAATTATGATTCATATCCCACCAAATGAATCTTAAAAAAAGATTATATTTGTTTTTATTTGTATAACTCATTAACGTATAGTTTAATGCTCTAATGTGACATGGCTTAAATTAGCCGGTGCGAAACCCTGGACTTAGGTTTTATGCTAATTGGGACTCATCAGCGAGACACCCAAGATACTAGCGAATCAGATTCTGCGTTTGGGATTTGAACCAACGTGATCCATCTATCCTTAGTGGACCATGAACCAGAATATGTGTTATTAACAGATATGTTAACTGACTGTCCAAATGAAATTAAACGTAGAAGTGGTTAAATCTGTAACCCAATTGTTGAATGTAGAGCATTTTAACGACGAAACCACATAATCACAAGTCATCTTTATAATAAAACATACAGATACTCATATTCTCATTTAAAAGATTAGGTATCACTGTTTGAAAATTCCCAAGTGAACTGTGATGTCTCCTATTGGGATAGCCAATCAGGAAGAAAGCCACGCACATTGTGGATTGATGAACTTATCGATTAAATGCTTAAATATTTCAAGGGCAGTCGATCGATGAACTATTTGATTTAATATTCAAATGTTTAAACGACAATATCGATTATATGTATAATTGTATAAATACGCATTTTCGATTGTATGTTTTTGATTCTGTTAATAAGTGTTCTCCAACGTCTTCCGTCTCCTTATTTTCGAACGGTGGAAGTCTAACGTTCGGTGTTGTCATTTGTACAGTGGTTTGGCGTTACTCAACTACAGAACATAAAATCTTCAAATTTAAATTTACCCGACCCCAGTTTTATGATTTAATTTGTGACTTTTTGCTTGAAATGTACTTTCTTTTAAGGTATATCTAACGTTTTTAGCTTAATACTCCAGTGGTCATACCTCCGTTTCTCTTTATTCTTTCGCCTACTTTTGGTTATTCTTGCATGTAGTTGTTATAACGTGTATGATACATGTCACTGCCATGCCTAATTTAATCTTCTAAGAAATCGGGAACAAGTTAGAGGAAACAGTATGGTGCAATAATTTCTGTTACAGTTCTCATTTCCGATGGATTTCTGATGATTGCTTTTTTAACGTTTCTACCTCACATGTAAACAGGACTAATACAGTCTGTTATTTTGAAAATTTGTCTTTCCGAGAATCGTTTAGAACAGTTGGAAAACGTGACTTTCTAATCATTTGAAAACGCGTTTAGAATTATAGTTAATTAATTCTATGAAGATCTGGCATCATGAATTTTAAAACGCATCTAATGTTACGTCGCGTCATGGATTTTTATGTATCTATTCTTATGCTACCATAAAGTCGCACTAGGACTTCTAATGAATATTGATTTCGGACCAAAGTTTTGTTTATTATTGCTAATAATAACTCTATACAAAAGGATTTCACCTTGTGATATTAACCAGCTCTTTATTTTAACTTTATTCTGAAGGCTCAAGGTAGTTGCCTCAGTGCTTCTCAACGTCAGACCCTTAATAATTTACAAAACCAAGCATTGAGATATCATCATTACAAAATTATGCATAATCAAAATCAAACAAAAACATGTAAATCGGGTAGTGATTTCACAGATGAAGCAGTCTCAACTTCTGGTTCAGCTGGACCATTTCACGGGGACACTACTGCTACAACAGGCAGTTCTGGTGCTGATCGTAATCCGTCCAGTGTAACTGGTGCAGATACAGTCGATTTGTTTCCCACTGAGGATGATGATTTAACTGCTGTTGTTGATAGTCCTGGGTCTGGTAATTTGCCTGAAGAAGATTTAGGGTTCTTGACCGATGACTTACTTGCTCAGTTGAATGGATCTGAAGCAGCTACTGGATTGGATCTTGTTGAGTTAGCCCTGTTTACTACTGGCTCTAGTACTAGCGATCAGCGGCATGCAGGTAACAATGATAGTAATCAGTGTTTAATCAACGAAAAATCTCAGTCGAAATGTAATGATCCTTCTACAACTGGCCCAGCTTCCAGAACTGTGACTAATCCACCGAAAACTGTTAGTCTAAATACAATCAAAAAGGATGAAATCGACATGAAAAATTGCTTAAATCAAGAACTTGGTATCGAACCCTTTGTCAATTCAGATAGTTTCTCTTCAGGTCCTATAGATTTGCATGCTTACTTAACCAAACCACTAAATCCACCTACTAATATAACTGCAGCTCTGCATGTTAATATGTCTTCTGCTCAAGTGAGTTATGTCCATCATTTCATGCAACTTGTAATCATTAATCATTAGCTTTTTCGTACATACATGAAATATTATATATTATTAGCAGGTACCCTGACACTATCAAATGACAATATTTTATTCTTCCATGATTTGAATGTAAAGTTAAGAGCTGATCAAAGCGATTTACTTTCGGGATGTAATTCAACCAGTTGGGCTGTTTAGTTTCAGACTTTAGCATCGGACATTAATAAGTTAGTTTTGATGAAACTAGATTTTTTAAACCTACATTAGATGCTTCTTTTCTCAAAAGGTGGCATAAATTCATTCTTGTTGCCTAATATCAGATCGTCATTCTTATTATACTGAATTTCGCTGTCATCTAAGGCGTTAGTTATTTGCCTTTACCATTCTTCACTACACAACATATCAGTATTTTCAGTTGTACTTTAGAGTTAGAAATATCTTGTTGTTAAGTTGTTCCCATCAATACGGCATTTGATTCTCCTTGTAAACATTTTAGTCCAGGTATATATGCTGAAACTAATAGGTTGATTTGTTTATGTCATATCACTATTTTGGTAGTGTATTAAAACAACTCAAGATCATTTTCAACTAAGCGAGTAGAAGTAGCTTGACTTCTCCAAAACGTATTGTGATTGTTATGGCAATACTAGCATTTAAAAGCAGAAAAGAAACCACCAATATACATGAATTTATTCTGTTGAAGTATAAATAAACTTGGTATTTGTATATAAACTGTTTGCAGCTTATTAGAGACATTATATGTAAAACACAATAATTCAATGTACCTGAAATTGCTTCATCATTGGTTTTCACTTTCTGATTCACATGTCTTTCATTTTAGATCTTGTCTTCGCTTCGTGGCCTTGGCCATTCAGGTGGGCCCTGGTGGCCCGGCTTACTACCGGAAGGTAGTCCTATCCCTACACCTCCTGCAAAACCTTACCCACCTCCTCCTAAAGAAAAGCTCTTACCTCCCACACCAAGTGTTTATTTGGAAAATCGCAATGATGCTCATTCACTTGAATTAATGCGCTACTGTTTTACACAACCAGTAGTCGTAATACGTGGTTTGGCTGCTGCTCTGCGCTTAGATTTAGGTTTATTTTCTACTAAATCATTGGTTGAATCTAATCCAGAACATCGAGTCGAAGTAAGTTGGTGGCATTTATGTTATTGCTTATCGCAATTCAGCCCGTTACTTTATAATTAATTAATTATAAACATAGTTACTTTTTTGACTGTTAAAAAAGTGACATTTAATATAGTTGTAATAAATCCTTTGAGAAACTAGTTTCTTTTTCCCTTTTTATTTTTAGAATCATTTTTTTTCATCTAAGTATTATAATGATATTCTTGTATATTATAGCAGTTCGTATTGATCAATCGCTGAAAAAATTGTCACGAATATGAATCTTATTTAAGGTAGTCTAATTAATTCCATTCGAAACAATTAACTTTGTTCTTATACTTGGGGCAACTGGTTACTCAACTTTTTAACTATGATACGTACGTTTAACAGTAGTTCTTCATAATTTTTAATATCTCTATTTATTAGTTTTCATTTGTCAGATAAGACAGCTGTAAAAATGGATGACTGAGATAACTGTATTGACTTTTAAAGGTATATCTAGATTATGTAGATCAATATTTGATATTTTTAAAGACAAACTTATTGTTTATTACCATCGACTATCGAACAGTTACATATTTTTGTTATTTGATAAACCTTTGCATAGTGCGTTGGTTTCAATGAAATAACATCTCTAAAGTTTGAGTATATAGAGGATATGATATCATTCAGAGCAAAAACTACCATTTGTTTTAGTGCGATTTAAATAAACAAAAGCAAATATTTGCAATGTGACTTTCTAAAATTAACTTTGTTTTCTGTTGATGGAATATTTTTTTACACTTTGGGATCAACAATACATCGAAGTTTTTGGTTTACATTACTGATGTATTTGTGTTCAGGTACGAACTCAACGTCTTCAACCGCCTGACCAGAATGTTGATTCTCAAGGACGTACTGTGTGGCTTTGTGAATCACCGAAAACTACTACAACAATTGCCAAATATGGAGCTTATCAAGCTGCGTCGTTTATTGAAGCATTAAAAGAAGAAAAGATTGCTAATTTTTCCGGTAGTGTACCAGTTACTTCAACTCCAACTTCTAATACAATTTCAGCTATATCAGTGGATACAAAATCTTCTACTGGTGGCGTATCAAATGGTACGATCAATTTCAAAGTTCCTAATTTACATAAATAATGTTTTATAATGTTTGCTTATTTCAGTTTAAGCTGTCTGTCACAGGTCGAAGGTGCTATTAATGTCAAATATTTGTTTCTCTTGAAGAATCACACTTTGTTAGTCGACAAGATCCAAGAATAGAAAAGTGTAAAGTGAAGTGATACAGTAGAAAAAAATATTTGGTTTAAGACTATCTCCAGGTTTTATAACAGTCATTTCATAATTGGTAATCGATCACTTTTGTAAGCCGTTACAGACCACCCATAAGAGTGACACAGTAAGCACCACATGGGTGTGAGTATGCAGAGGAAATCCTCTCAAAGTTGTATCTGTTGTTTGGTTTACTTATGTTTTCATCGGTAGAGAACATTCGTCATACCTCAGGCTCGATTCTTGACAAAAATGAAATATATTTTTCAAGCTGTGGTTCCTAAGTTTATTCTCGTGAGTTATTATAACTATTTCATTAACATGCTTGACATCTTCAACGTTACACGTAAATTTTTTTCATAAATTATTATTGCCAACCTGTTTTATTCTGCCTCTATTTTCGGTCGATTAGCTGTTACAGGAAGCGGACGGAAAAATTCTACTCATTGGTCAAGCGAATCAACAAATTGCGAATTCAAGTAAGCATTCTACTGATGTAATTTGAGATATTTTCAATTATTTTTCTGAATATTTGAAGATAAGCTGTAACTTATGTGAACATTGATAACGGAAACCATATATATGTGAAAATATTTTAGTGTTACTCTTTTTCTGTTTATTACAATCCTACTAGTATAAATCATCCGAATCAAATAGGAAGTAAAATATCTGGTGATGAAAATCAATCATTATCAAATCAACAGAATACAGGACGATCGAAATTGATACGTTTCGGAACAAATTGTGATCTGTCAGATCAGAAAAAATGGTTACCTCAACTTCATGAACTTACTAAATTGCCTATATTTGTTCGAGTTGTAAGCGCTTTCAGCATGCTCAGTCATGTAGGCTATCCACTTTTAGGATTAAATACTGTTCAGCTTTATTTGAAAGTAAGAAATATTTTTTTTTTAGATTTATTAGATTTATTTACATGTGAAAGCATATTCCTTTATAAAAATGAAAATATGTTTTCGGATAAAGGTATTTCATATAACACTAATACAACAACTATTGGTAGAACTAGTAATAATATTAATAATATTAAAGAAGTACAGTTCAGATGAAAACGCAACTGAATTAAATTTCATATCAACCAAGGCATTGCTTAGATACAACATGCACTGAATTACTTTGGAAACAAGACTACTGACCTTACAAACAATTGATTTCCATGATCTATAGGACTTCATTTGGGATTCATTGCTGCGACAACAACTGGTGACAATGGAAGTATCATATTTCATTCTGTTACAGTATCATAAATTGATTTGATACATCCACAACAGACTGTGTATCTAGAATCGGTTACTTGAATGAAATGAAAATTTTCCTGATGTTTGTTTTCATCTTACCTGGGATTTTCACGTATTAAATCTCACAGCTTTCTATGCAATCATGACATTAAATAGGCATATCAGAGTAGAACTATGGTACGAAAAGTTTTTTGTTAACTGTCCGAAAAACATAGATTCTAAGTCAGTCAGACTACACATATAAAATTTTAAATGATTTCTGATTACCACATTTATTAATAAAATTATTATTTATTTACAAAGTTATCACTATTAATCGTGCCATTTTTTCAAATAATATAAGGAGAACTGTGCATAGCTTTTTATTAGTGTATTGTAATCATGATTCAATTTATTGAGGTTCATACATAGAGATGCTTCTGTATAATTGTTTGTTGACCCTCTTCAGATTGTGACGCTTATTATCTGTTGATCGTCAATAATATCAACTTATTGTTGTTTGTTTGGAATGTTCATTCATCGTGTTGTCGATTTTCACGTCTATTGTTCACCCTGAGTATAATAATTAGTTCTCTTAATATCAAAAGAGTTGAATAAGTCATTAAATAGTCTTTTAGTTCAGATGATACGAGGTCTTTAAAATGAATCACACACTTGTGTATAATAACTATACTACTTATAAGTATATCGAATTTCTTCTCTGTATTTTATCGGTTAAACTAACTTTTCATAAGTTGTTTTCTTATTTAGTTAACACATTCTGTTTAGCCGGTCATTTTTTAATTATTGGGTTGCGAATCGTTTTTTACTGTTGTTTTTAAATTCATTACCTTGAATGTGAGTTTAAAATTAAGTTAGTGGTTAGTCATTCCTTCCACGGTGTGGGCAGCCGGGAAGTGACAATCGCCCTCATACCCATAACAGCACGAGAGACCAAATTGGTCGAAATCAAATCCTTCCTACACCCCCTAGTACCTCTCTTATCTCCACAACTAACTGTACTCACATTCCCTTATCTGACTGCACCGCTAATGCAAACGATGCGAGTTCGCCAAACATCGTTCCCGGTCTCCTTAAACCCTGTTCTAAACTACATTTTGGAGCATTTAATGTACGGACATTGTGTCAAATAGGGCAACAGGCTTCATTAGGTAGGACTTTAGAATCTCGCTCCATCCATGTATGCTGCGTACGCGCATACAGGATCCTAGTAAAATTATTAATCTGATCACCTTGTCAAAATAAAGAAGCAGCTCGATTTACCCTTCGTGTATCCGGTAGCCCTGATGCTGCTTCCAGGGGTTTTGCTGGCGTAGGCATAACATTGAGTCGTAGAGCTGAATAATCTCTACTTGACTGGATCCCTGTAGATAGTCGCTTGTGCGCTGTCCGACTAAATGGGACAGTAAGGACTCGGAATGATAGGGACACTCGCCGTTGCCTCTTCGTCGTATTTAAGGATGGTGGTCCAGTTTTAGCAACTAGGTTGACTGAGATCTTAGGTAGAATCTGGGAACTGGACGTAATCCCATCTGACTGGTCTCAATCCTTGATTGTCCCAATCTATAAGAAAGGACAAAAGTCTTCTTGTGACAATCACAGGGGAATAAGTCTAACTAATATAGTATCTAAAATATTGGCCTCAATAATACTTTGGCGCCTAACGAAAGCTCGTGAAGAGCAGACTCGAGAAAACCAATCTGGTTTTCGACCTGGACGTGGTTGTATAGACCACATATCCACACTACGACAGGTCCTGGAACACAGACACATTTATACGTCCTACAATAGTTGTTTTCCTGGACCTAAAAGCGGCATTCGACTCTGTGGATCGTGAGGTTATGTGGCAGTGTCTGTCATTGAAAGGTGTACCAAAGAAGTACATTAACCTCATACAAGCTCTCTACTTGAACACCACTGGTCGAGTGAGAGCTTATGGCGAACTGTCACCGGAATTCTCTACATCAAGTGGTGTCCGTCAGGGCTGTCCACTTTCTCCATTCTTGTTTAATTTTATCATAGACATGCTCCTAGAAATTACCTTATCCTCGTCTGAATTTTCAGGAGTAGACCTTTTACCAGGTGGCTCGCTTATCGACTTAAAATATGCCGATGAAATTGTCCTACTTGGTGAAGACGCTGACAAAATGCAGAGTCTTCTGACTACCCTGAGCAACAATGTGAACATGTTCGGGATACGGTTTTCCCCCTCGAAATGCAAAATGTTGCTTCAAGACTGGGTTTCATCGGCACCTGAACTAGTGGTAGGGAGTGAAGTAGTCGAACGTGTAGACCGCTTCACTTATCTTGGGTATCTCATCAGTGCCGCTGGCCTGGTGACTGACTAAATCTCAGCTCGGATACAGAAGGCTCGATTGGCTTTTGCCAACCTGCGTCACTTATGGCGAAGGCGAGATATCCGTTTGCTGACTAAAGGACGAGTGTACTGTGCAGCGGTTCGCTCCGTCTTACGTTATGGCTGTGAAACATGGCCAATGAGAGTAGAAGATATTCTTAGGTTACTGGTTTTCGTTCATAGGTGTCTTCGAAGCATTGCTCGTATATCGTGGGACAGCCGAGTGAGCAACGCTGTTATTAGGACACGGGTGCTTGGTAAGAATGGCAGATCAATAGATGAAGTAATGAAACTTCATCAGTTGAGGTGGTTGGGACATGTGTTGCGTATGCCCAACCACCGACTGCCTCGTCGAGCTTTGTTTTGTAGTGTAGGAATAGGTTGGAAGAAAGTTAGGGGCGGCCAAATCAAAACATGGCATAAATCCATGAAGTTATTGATGAGTGAACTTAGCCGTGTCGGTAATTGTCGACTACCTGGTTGGGGTCCGCGAGATGATAATAATCGATGGTTAGAGACCTTGAATGACATGGCTCAAAATCGTTCGCAATGGCGCCGGTGCATTTATTCTTTGTGTTCTCTCAAATCCTAACCTTCTGGGTTCTTCAACAACTCTAGTTTTGACTTTCTAAACTTTTCTCATTAAATCATACTTCTTGAATAATATCTTCTAATCCTAACCTCTCCGATTACTCCTAATACCTTTACTATCTCTTCTACTATTGGATTTGAATTGACAATTACATCTCTGTGCTGATGTGGTATGGCGACATGAACTGATGTACTTACGTACGAAGTTCTACGTTGCATCTGACTGACTGACTAGGGGTTAGTAATTACATAGCTTTTTGATTGTTTGTGTATATATAACCGATGTTCTGTGCATTATTACGTGTTAATACTTAAAATCCTAAATGGATAGGTAGGTGTTGAGTTTTTTTGGGACGTTAAGAAAGCTATTAATTTTAAGCTAACTTTCTACAAACCACAAACGATTGCACTTCCTGAATATGGACAGCTTTATGTATCGGAGTCATTGGTCATTCAAATTTTCTAGTCAGTCAGTAATTATCCTCATATAAGCTCGTTTCACTTGTAATGCTTGGTACTGGGAATTCGCTAAGATCAGTTTGTTTATGAAACTACGTTTTTTCCTCATCCCTTGCTATTCATTTTTCAGGTTCCTGGCATTCTTATGTTTCTCTATTTTCGTATATGTCACAAACACTTACTCTTGCTTACTTCGAAGAGCTTGTTTTTTACTCTTAAAATCAGCAAACGAGATTCACGTGACGCAGGTTAAAAATTCGCAAAGAACGAGGGAAAACTTGTATCACCTACACTCAGTCGTACCACGATGATGATGATGGTTGTGAACGTGGTTTAAGTAGTTTTTATTTTTACATCTGGAAACTATAAATATTAAGCCATTGTTGTATCATTTCAGGTTCCTGGTTCTCGTACTCCTGGTCACCAAGAGAACAATAATTTCTGTGCTGTCAATATTAATATCGGTCCAGGTGATTGTGAATGGTTTGCTGTACCGGAACAATATTGGGGAGCTATTCATAATTTATGTGAGAAGAATAACGTGAGTTTCAGTTTTATTCATTGTGTGTTAGGATTATATCTTTAACTTAATGATATAATATGAAAATTATACTAAAAATAATCTCAGCTGTTGAAATTTTAAATAATTTCAACGTTTTGTCAAACTACCTTGTCTTGACTTCTACAAGTTGGTAATATTTTGGATAATTTTACGAATTGGTCATCAAAATCTCTAGGAAATATTATGTATATCCTGATGTAGACTAGAATAGTGATGATATGTTCACTTTTTATATTTCTTTTAAATCTGTTTCTCTGCAAATTTTTTCTCCATCTCCTTTTGTATGATATTTAAAAATTATTATTATAGACTGTTACATTTGCATGCCAGAGTGTAAATTATATTTTTATTCGTTGTAAAATCGGTTCAGTAAAATCTGTTTGGATCAAAGGGTACTTGTTCGAATTTTTCAATAGTTTATTGTTTTCGATAAAAAAAAAGCAACTGATAAATCAATTTTTATTTTCACAAATAAGAGAGTCAGCTATATCAGAGTTGTTGCAGTGATTTTATTAACTGCAAGACATCCATAAGAATTGTTGATTGTTTATTGTTTACCCTCTTTCCTTTATATCTCATACACAGGTGTTCCAAGTAAAACAGTTTGAAGTAATTTACCGTTGAATTGAAATTAATGTAACTGAAAAAATTGCTACACATTTTTATTTCTTTGATGCGGTTAGTGTTAACGTGTTAATTGTCTATAGTAAAGAGTGGTATAAATTTTTATCTAATTGTGAACTTATGGAACTTATGTAGTCTTAATATGACGTTAAACTAATCTATTATTATTTTTAACTTTACGTTCAGGTTGATTATTTAACTGGTTCTTGGTGGCCGGATCTAGAAACACTGTACAAGGAAGAGATACCAGTTTACCGGTTCATTCAACGACCTGGAGATTTGGTATGGATCAATGCAGGTACAGTTCATTGGGTACAGGCTATTGGTTGGTGTAACAATATAGCATGGAATGTTGGCTGTATGACTGCTCGACAATATCAACTTGCTGTTGAACGTTATGAATTCAACCGTTTACATGGGGTTAAATCTGTTGTACCCATGACACATCTTAGTTGGCAGTTGGCTAAAAATATCAAAATATCAGATCCAGGATTGTTTGAACTCATCAAGTAAATATCATTGCTAGTAAACTTTTTGAGCGTTAATATTTCACGCATTATTTAATTTAATAAACTTTGGGTATTTACTCCAAATTAGCGATGTCATCGGTTCAGTGCATAACATTATCTTCTTTCGAAAGATATATAAATAATAAAACTTCAGGTAACATTAAATGAAATGTGTAGATGAAAAAATACATTTTAAAGTTGACAAAGAAACTCATTTGATTTAAAAGTATAATTCAATTGACAAAAAATGTTGTTAAATTATGTTCAGTACGATATAAATCTAGAATTTTTCAAACTTTTAAACAATCCGATAAACAGACACTAACAAATATGTTACAATCTCAGAGTGAAACTAAAGATGCGTACCAAAATAACTTATCTATTACAACATGTCAGTAAGATAGATCTATGTTATTGGAATTGGTTGTAATCTATCCTGAATAAAGTTTCTACTGTTTCGTTAATACCAACCAGTGTTCTGTATGTTTTATTCAGCGAATCACAACATACATTGTTAGTGAACCTTAGTTTAAGGGGTTTTTCAATTTACCTATATACTCTAACTAAATTGGCGCTTAGAACTCTCATATAGAATTGTGTTGTATTATTTCACGTGGCGTTAGTCTATATACCTTTAATATTTCACTAATAACGATCATGGTCATTCATTTCTGTCCACTTTAATTAAGATTGCCTAATTCTGATTATTGTTTGCTTCATTTATCAATACAACTAGTCTAAATTTTCTAAAAATATTGATTTTCTTGCCTATAGGCACACACTGCTTCGTAGTCTTATTCAATCCCAGTTGACTACTGATTTTCTGGAGGAGATGAATTTAACGGTCAAGCATCATGGAAAACGCCCCGATGATATTGCTCATTCCTGTCATGATTGTGAGGTTAGCGAAATGGTTTTTGGCTTTTTTTTCTGTATATTTGTTAGCTATATATAAAATGTTTAAAATAGTTGGTCGGTTGATTCCCGTCATTCAAAATTACTAGAGCGGTTGATTGAGTAATTTGATAAAAATATTTATTTGTGAAGAGACCAAATAAGAGGTGTTCATGTTCAGAAACGGAATGCTTCTGTTCATGATGATGATTTCCAGTTTAGAGCGTTATTTTTCATCAATCATTCAGTCTGTTTATTTCATTCAATAGAGTACACATTAAATTCTTTTTAGTCTGATGTAGTAAAAAATTAAAATACAACAATTGTTCTATTATATTTTGAAATTATAGGCTGTTCTGTACGTCTTCACATTATGTCTAAATTTTTTAAAATCTTAATCCACTCCATTTACTTGCCCCCCTGTCCTGATATATAAACACGTAGTGCAAATATGCGAAAAAAGTTCGTGCTTGCAAGTTATGTACAATGATTTAGTGTTATTACGAGGATAATTCATAGCTGCCAGTGTGTAAAGGTGAACCTCACTCTCAAGTTTCTCAAGCAAAACTGTTTATTGACATATTTACACAATTAATAAATTGTGATACTTAATCAAATTTTTTATGCCTAAGTCGTATTAGCTAATCACAGCCCAAGATAAAACTTTATCATTAAATTCTTTTTTAAAATGAAAACTATCAAAGTTAGATTACATTTGAAGATATAATTCTTCCAAAAAATGTTATCATTTACGGAATTGTGGTGTAAAATTTTTTGATGGTTTAAATTCACTACCGTATTGTCGATGTTTAGATTCACATATTTGTGGAATGCTGAAAAATGTTTCACTGCCATCCTTCTTCTTTTCTTTATATTTTTTACAGATTGAAGTATTCAATCTTTTATTCGTTTTATCTCAAGATAAAAAATTGGTTGTAAGATGCCTAGATTGTGCACGTCGAATGGATTCTAGTTTGAAAACGTTCATTATATTATCGGAATATTATATTCATGAACTGTGTGAAATTTTCGATAAATTTCAACTTCAAACTGTAAGTTCTGCTTGAACGTATCAATTGATCGGTTATGGTTCAAACTTTTTAAAATTAAATTATCCAAAATCGACGAAGTAATATGTTTGCTACGTAAGGGATTCCAAACAGGATGTCCAACTGTACCATGCAATGAAAAGATCAGATGCACACGACCTGCATTTCCGAAACCCGTGTTGAGCTTCATGGAGTATTTTATTCTTATCCATATACTCCCTCATTTGTTCGTCACCAACCCTTCTACAACCTTTGATAATATTGGTAGTAGTGCGACTGGTCTGTAACAGGCTGGGTCCTTTCTGTCTCCTCCCTTAGAGATTGGAGAAAGAAGAGCTTGTTTCCATTCAGTTGGGAATCGGTATGATTCTAGTGAATGCATGAACAGGTCACATATTGGTGAACAAAGGTCTTCTGTACATCGTTGCAAGACTATGGGGCGAATTTCGTCACAACGTGGTGATTTACCTGGCCGTAGGGATTTTTGTTTCCTCAGTACTAAGTCAGGAGTGATACGGATGTTCCCTAAGCCGTCAGCTGGCAATGGGTTGGCGTAGTACCCTGAAGATGTGGACGCCTGGTTTAAATGATCATAAAAGTTAGTGTTAAAGATCTCGGCCATCTCTAGGTTGGTGAGGTCTTCCCCGTCTGGTCCTATGAGAGAAGAAAACACCTGATTAGTAGGTTTTCGTTTGGACATGAACCTAAACAGATGCTTCGGGTTTGCCTCTATTTTGACAGCTAGCTTCATCTGAAAATCATGACCCAAAATGTTTAGCCCTAAGCAACAAAACAAAAAATAACATCAAGTAAAATCACTGATGCACTCATAATTTTTAAAAAAGTGTTATTTCCCTTTGATTCTTTCTCTTTGCAGCAACCTATCACGGCCTATCCAGTGGGAAAAACGTAATCTACTCACATCATTGTGAACTAATGTGCATTAAAGAATCCAAATATCATGTCATCGAACAATAATTATTGAACGCATTTCAACATTTTTGTAATATACCATCAGAATGCAACATTCATGTTTATACATTTTCATTGTTGCTAGTTATTGAGAAATTGCATTGAAAATTCTCTACTGTAATTAAATTGTATAATATAAAGAAGTTGTAAGCTAGAAATTAACCACCGAAGTAATCAATTCTTCAATGTATTTTCATTTGGTTATATGTGGTTCATTCCTTTCATTCCTTATATTCTCACTCTTAAATTTGAAAACCTACTGTCACTTCGCCCGAAAAGCGAAGGACACCTTCACTTGTCAAACAAAACTCTAAATGTTAAATAAAGTTTCTTTTCCTGTTTGTTGTTGTATGTCTTGCTGTACTTGCTGTTTTAGCTTTCTCTCATTTCTTTATGAATAAAGAGACCAGTTTAAATTTCCGAAGAATTCGTTTTTGTTTCAATGTTCCGATATTCGTTCCTCGGAGTACATTGCTACGTTGAACAATAATATCATACAGAATATATAGATTGAAATCAACTCACCCATCTATATAAGAGAGTTGATCTATTTTACAAAACGCCAAAAATTCCAGATGTAATTGCATATTATCCGTGAACATGAGGATGGCTGGTTTTCGGATTGCATTAGTAAGGTTGACATATTTATCCACAAGCATGTGTGTGTTGAATTACTGGTGAATTGTTAAGCTAATTTGAAATACGCATGTTCAAGTGTCTGCATAAAATATCCATATAAATTAGCGTTATACAGTTGAGAATTCAGTTATCCGCATCTGTAATGTAGTTAACGGATGTGTTGATGTTATATTCAATCAATTACTGCTCATTACACTTAATACTCCATCTCTCTGATGCCTACCACAAGACATTTCAGTATCACCAAATGCATCAATCAAAACAATAGTTTCATAAAAAATATTTGGTTAGTGACTAAGAAATAAATTGATCACTCACAGATGATCCAGCTAAATCTCATTACTGATCGTATAGCTCTTTGATTTAATGCACAAAGCACTTCACATTGAAAATGTCTTTCAAGCAGGCACTTCACATTTGTTGTAGATTTCATAACAATCAGTTTATTTGAAGATAAATATTCATTAGTTTGTGAAATAGTTGTCATTTCATCCAATTCAAATATGGTACGTGATAAGTGTGCATGTTTTCACTGTAATATCGATACTCAAATTTATCTGAATTCGTGACAGTCAAGATTATTCACATGAAACTTGAAACAAGTATCTGATTGAGACGTATGTGAATTTCTTCAAAAGTAATAGATATTGTCAGAGGATTGTTCTAAAATGATTAGCATGAATGGAGGGTCTATATTGGTATATAGGTCGATAGATGTCAATAAATAGTGAGTGTTGTGTAGAACATCACTTACTACACATTGAGTTTAGTTGAATTCATGTAGAACCGATAGCTCACTGATATCGGTTAACTGACAGTCTGCACACATAAAATTGAACTTCAGCAAACCAACATTAACAACTTGATGTTATTCACATCGACAATCGGTTGAACTGTGAGTCCTATAATAATGAACTGTTTTGTAATAGAGAGTAGTGCAAATGACATCTCATGGTGACGGGGATCGAGAAAACAGTCAGTCATAGGAGTGAGCATTTCGATTGCTGCATGAATAACTAAACCTATGTAATCTGCATCTCGCTACACAAAATATTATTTTGTCGAGTGTTGGTGCGAACCATTAATGCAAATGGGCGATTACTGTGAAAAACAATTAGATCATAATGAATTACAGCTCATCTATTTTTTTCAGTGTTTTGTACAAAACAACACAAAACTAGTCGAGTGTAATTGTTTCGAACACACCTGATATTGATTAGTGATTATATCTTATATCTAGTCATTGTATTGTTTATAAACTTTTCTTCTCTCTAATCTTTCTGAAAAGTATTCTTTACGCCTTTTTTCTGAGTTGTTTTTGTCGCATTTTGATATACGATAATTTTTTGGACATTTTCACTCACTGCCATTATTCATTCATTTTTGTTTCTGATCATTCTTTCTGTAACTAAATAAATTACAAGCTGCTCACAGTTTTCATGTAGAATGGCTCACTCTTGTCATTCACTATTCTCTGTATACCATATAATTACACCATAATATGTATTTTCATCTTGACATATCAAGTAGTTTTTAAAAACTCAACGAAAATTAAGTACACTAAGCTTAAAATTTATCTTTTTATACTTTCTAACTGTTGACATGGTTTCCTTGACTTTCATTTATTAAATAGATTCATTAATTGATGAAATCATAATGTATACTTTTAAAATCTAGGCGAGCGGTGTCACGCACATAACTTTTCCAATGAAACGCAAATGATTCTATTGTTTTTTAATAAACAGTATAAAATTTTCAATCACTTGTTAATTTTGACGGCATATTCTGTTCTTGATAGGATACTTCGGATTGTTCCTACAATTTAATACTACGGTCTTTTACTTCATTTTTTAATGAATTCATCTAGATAAGTGTTTTAATTTATATTTCTTTTATGAAATTTTGGATACTGAACTCTAAACAATTTATTGTATATGTCCTCTAATGAATTAAGAATGTCTAAGGATATTATTTTTGTGTTTATTCATTTTCTTATGATCAATGATTCTCTGAAAGTTATTTAAAAATACTTTTTCGGTTTTAGACCAAAGATTAGTAAAGTTTCGCAGTAGAGGAAAAATGACAAATTACTTTTAGATCTCTTTTCTCATCTAATGTTATCAAATCGGTCAAGGGATTTCGATTAGTGGTTGAAACACAATGAATACAACTATGATATGCAGGTTCAAATCTACTACGGTTCAAAAATTGATTCGCATCACTAGACAGTATTATTTAGTTGCTTGCTCATTTGAACACATGAATTTTGGTACAACCGAGCACCTAAATAAATATAAGCCACAAAATAACAAAGGGATGTTGAAGAAATAGAGAAAAGGTAGGTACAATAAAAAAAATGGATGAAATTAATCAAAGAGAGCAAGCAAATAGTAATAAGAGATGTAGGTTAGTCAAGGATTATACAGTCAGGGAGAAATCTTTCAGTCAAAGAAGTTCATCTCATGTATATGAAAACAGTAAGATAAAACCAAAGCAGGTCTACTAACGGCTTTTATTCTGAGCCATGTCTGATTACGTCTCAAGTTACTCAGTCGCACCAACTCTAAGACACCAACCAACCAGTCGTGAGTAACCAACAGATATCAGTTTTACACAGCCTTCTGTCGTAACACAACACTATGTCATACACTAGTCACCTCTTCGTTTTTTCCAACCCTTTCTATCGTCGGTGTTGTAAAATGGTGACATCGATCTAATTATCGTCGCAGTGCGCGAACAAATATAGTCAAACCTCCGTATTAATAACACAATTTTGCCAATCAATGTTAACAATCCTTCGGTGACAACGATGATCGAATACAGAGTCTCTTAAGATCCTCAATGGTAAGGACAGGTTTCACAAACGTAGAGTAAACTGCTCTCATTGACGCATCGTTCATCCGAATTTTTACGTCCATACTAACAGAACGTGGGTGAAAAAATGTCCCAGATTGACATGAACCACTATGTCATTCACTACACTTATTGTGACCTCATTACTCATACCACCACCTGCACTAATACAGCTACTCAAATACATTACTGTTTCTACTACTTCCGGAAATGTGACATCATAATTACTCAACGAAATGTAACACTCCGAAGTTTACTGACAAGAATGCTTATCGGAATTATGTTCACCTTTGAATGGTATCTCTTTATTATGAGAGCACTGATACCAACAAGCTAGAACATATCTTATTTGTAGCTGGTGTGGAGGTTTTTCAACTCAAAATGTTGGGAACAGAAATAAAAACGATGACATATTTGAAGGTGTTTTGCAGATACCTGCAGTAATGTAAACTTTTTCAAACAGATAGTAAATTTCTACAAGAATTCCTTATATACATTTTGTCCAGGTAAAATTGATATTTATATCTGAGAAATCTTCAAGTGTGTTATCGAAATCCTTTTTGAATGCTTAATCACAAATTCTGCTCATCTATACTTTGGCTTCATTCCTTCGTAACTATACATGGGACTGATTTAATCAATAAATAATGAGACATTGTAGAAGCTTATAAGCTACAACCTGTCGAATTCAATGATACAGAAATCATGAAGACGATATCATATGCTCATAAATAACAGGAATATTCTGCCTTCTTCAAAGAGCTGCACACTGATAGTGAGACAGCTTACCTAGTTTAAAAACTGGCCATAATGTTAATGTAAATCAGTTACCGAATCGTTCAGAATTTTCGAATTCGAAATAAAATCTGGTTAATTTTACTTGTTGCTAATACAAAATGTATAAATATCCTCAATGAATTATTTAAATTAGGTTTCAACACTATTGAATTATGATAATATACAAATGAGGTGATGTGATGGCTAGAAAAATCTACTTTACAAGATAAAGTTAATAATCCATAAATTATTAACGAAATCTGATAAAATTCTTAACACAAATGATGTAGTTGAAATAAAAATATGATAAATTTCGTAACCTTTCGAATGACGATTTTACTACTGCATATCCTTAGTCATATGTATGACTATCCTTAAAATTAGTGGAACCATTACAGTACAGTAACTCAGGTACATTAGTTGTATGTAAAAGAGTCTCATAACATTTGTGTGTACTAATAAAATATAAATCAAGTTTGTTGATCTTAAATTTAACTACACAATATTGTTATACAGTATATTCAGAAAAGAAGATGGGAGTAATTTACTTGAAACTCATATTGTCTGCTATCACTAATCGTCCTTTTCATAATTACATTTTGATGTGTTGTAATTCTTCAGAATGTCTACTATACATTGTTCAACAGCTCAACTGTGTAGGGTAATGATAATCTGTTCTAACAAAAATCTGAATAAAAATCATTTCTATAGCGGAAATCTCACGATATTATACAAGTACATTAAAGTAACACATCAAGATTTTAGTTTTCATTGTTCAACTATCTGTATTAACAACACAAAAAACACTGCATATTAATAACGAATAGTTAGTTTTTTTCTTTCGAAAAAGAGCAACAACTCATATATATATCTCTTCTGAACATCCACGGAAACAACTTGTTCTTTACAATGCTTCATTGTTCTATAACATTTTCATGTTTGTTCCAAAATAAATTTCTATTTTCTTGTGATGTCAATTTATTCATTACGATAGAATTGTCGTCGTACTTTTAACAATTCTCTCGTTACAAAAAATATATGTACAATACTTGTTAATTCAACTATTATACAAATCACAGTGAATTGATAATATGAAGCATTTAATTTACCACAGTTAATTGTTAAAACAATTACAATTAATGGCATAATTATGCCAAATAATAAATCACATACTACACAGAATAACAATAATGATGCTGATGGAACTGACTCATAATGATATAATCCCATGGCAAGAGTACCAATTAACAAAAAACCTGCAGAACACCATAAACCAACACAGTAGCATTGTATACGATGTGTATATAGTAAATAACCAACTTCAATGGTAGAACAACATAATCCCATGATTAATAACAATAAACCGGTAATCATTGTAAATAAATCCCATTTATCTCCATTATCACACCAATAGGTGATGCATAGTTCTTCTTTCTCTGATATCCGTTCACTTTCCACTATTTTCGTTTTTGGCATTGTCTTAATTTCGTCTTTCGGAAATAAGATTAATTTGAATGAAATCGCACAGTCCGTAGTAGAAGATGCCTTTTCAGAAGCAGAATTTGACATACATGCCTTTGCAGTGCAGAAATGTGATCGGAAATGATGATATTTTCGATAAATACATTAAAATATCAATCTTCAGAGATTACAGAGTTCTTTTGAACCGGTTTTAACAAATAATTTGACAATTTTTATTATTGTACCGTACTACACTTGTAAATACATATAGGCGTATATACATATATATATATGCATATACTATAGGTATTTAAGTGTTTGTGATTCGCTAATCAGTCCTCGTTAAATTTATATAATTCTACACTAAGAATACATTAATCTGAATGACCTTGATGGATTGAATTTAAAAGTCTTAATCTGCTGCATTTCAATTTTATCAGTAAATTATGTCTTATAGTATACTTATATTATATGATATATTGTAAGGTTTAAAATCTAGACCTGTTCAATGTAACTAACAAATTTTATATTAATAACATAAAATTGTTATATTTTGATTAGTTGACAGATGTATTGTACATATTCACATGCTCTTTACTGATTGAATAACATCTATTCAATCATATCCACTATCTTCTACTTTCTTCACACACTGAATTATCTGCGAAAATGTCAGGTGTGAACAAACCTGACAATTTCTATTTTATCGCTTATAAAACTTTAAATTAATAGAATTACTTTGATTATTTGGATCTTCTGAGTGTTCACATTTAATTTATATGTACTAAGTTTCAATTTTTCTCTTCCGTTGAATACATCTATTTGATTGAATTCTTATATTTTTATTCATAGAAATAATTATTACCTTTCATATTGAAGTTTTGCTTACATGTCAATAAAATTTCATTATACTAAAAAAGTATTTGTTTTGTTAAGGAAAAAGGGAATCGTTTTAACAAAAATTAATGAATATTTCACAAAGAGTGTATACAGTGTCAGTTAATAACAAGGTAATCAAAAGCACTATTTGTACTTAATTAAAAAGTAATTTAACAAATAATTTGTACACTTAGAAGACAGATCATATCATCTGATTTTCTATTTAAAAAATAGGGAATTATTACACATCGACTCATTAGTAGGGGACAACACAACAAACATGTTAAAGTTATAACAACGCGAAACTTACCAAGTGGTATCGATACTTTTTATCAAAGAAAATGATACATTTTGTCTGATATGATTCTTGAAAAGTTAATAACTAGTTGTGTTTATCTGAAACAGTGTGTACTGAGTTCACAGGAATATTTGGATAAAATACACAAGATAGTTTATTATGCATGATATTGTGAAACTTCGAAATGACACAACAACTAAAAGTTTCCAATTATATAAACAGTTTTATTTTTATAAATGATAAACTTATTTTAAGACAAGTACGCGACCCCACTTTGTGTGTAATTCGACAACTCAGAAGAGATTATTTAAGCACATTTTAACAGTAGGAAGAAATTTAGTAGGTGAATGGTTGGTTCTGTTTACTACAAAAAACCGACGTCAACATCCTCTGATATGAAAGAAAAGTTATAAGGCACTTACATTCATTAACTAAAAATATGCTTTTAAAGTGCGGAAATGAAGATCTAGTAAGACTGATAAAGTTAAAAAAACGTCACTTGAATAATTAACTGCAGATACAATAAGCACTTTCAAACGTTTACGTTATTCTCATCAGCAACCTGGCCTGAACCCGGTGTTCACCTCGGAAGAGTCTGTCAGCTGTCCTCCATGCAAGATTCTGCAGTATGATCCGTCAAGAGACTTCCATATGCTGTTGACTATCTTCTCAGGGAGTGTCGAAGAAGCCTCTGTAGTGTTGTCACGTCCATTATATCAAATGCTATACATGATACTATCGAATATTTATCAGAAAATCATAACAAAATGTTTATCAGTAGTGACCAGATTAAAGTGTATTAAAATCGATTAGACGAACAATTAGAGGGAAGAAAAGTTTATAAACAATACAATGACTAGATATAAGATATAATCACTAATCAATATCAGGTGTGTTCGAAACAATTACACTCGACTAGTTTTGTGTTGTTTTGTACAAAACATTGAAAAAAATAGATGAGCTGTAATTCATTATGATCTAATTGTTTTTCACAGTAATCGCACATTTAAATTTAATGGTTTGCAACAACACTCGACAAAATAATATTTTGTGTAGCGAGATGCAGATTACATAGGTTTAGTTATTCATGCAGCAATCGAAATGCTCACTCCTATGACTGACTGTTTTCTCGATCCCCGTCACCATGAGATGTCATTTGCACTACTCTCTATTACAAAACAGTTCATTATTATAGGACTCACAGTTCAACCGATTGTCGATGTGAATAAAATCAAGTTGTTAATGTTGGTTTGCTGAAGTTCAATTTTATGTGTGCAGACTGTCAGTTAACCGATATCAGTGAGCTATCGGTTCTACATGAATTCAACTAAACTCAATGTGTAGTAAGTGATGTTCTACACAACACTCACTATTTATTGACATCTATCGACCTATATACCAATATAGACCCTCCATTCATGCTAATCATTTTAGAACAATCCTCTGACAATATCTATTACTTTTGAAGAAATTCACATACGTCTCAATCAGATACTTGTTTCAAGTTTCATGTGAATAATCTTGACTGTCACGAATTCAGATAAATTTGAGTATCGATATTACAGTGAAAACATGCACACTTATCACGTACCATATTTGAATTGGATGAAATTACAACTATTTCACAAACTAATGAATATTTATCTTCAAATAAACTGATTGTTATGAAATCTACAACAAATGTGAAGTGCCTGCTTGAAAGACATTTTCAATGTGAAGTGCTTTGCGCATTAAATCAAAGAGCTATACGATCAGTAATGAGATTTAGCTGGATCATCTGTGAGTGATCGATTAATTTCTTAGTCACTAACCAAATATTTTTTATGAAACTATTGTTTTGATTGATGCATTTGGTGATACTGAAATGTCTTGTGGTAGACATCAGAGAGATGGAGTATTAAGTGTAATGAGCAGTAATTGATTGAATATAACATCAACACATCCGTTAACTACATTACAGATGCGGATAACTGAATTCTCAACTGTATAACGGTAATTTATATGGATATTTTATGCAGACACTTGAACATGCGTATTTCAAATTAGCTTAACAATTCACCAGTAATTCAACACACACATGCTTGTGGATAAATATGTCAACCTTACTAATGCAATCCGAAAACCAGCCATCTTCATGTTCACGGATAATATGCAATTACATCTGGAATTTTTCGCGTTTTGTAAAATAGATCAACTCTCTTATATAGATGGGTGAGTTGATTTCAATCTATATATTCTGTATGATATTATTGTTCAACGTAGCAATGTACTCCGAGGAACGAATATCGGAACATTGAAACAAAAACGAATTCTTCGGAAATTTAAACTGGTCTCTTTATTCATAAAGAAATGAGAGAAAGCTAAAACAGCAAGTACAGCAAGACATACAACAACAAACAGGAAAAGAAACTTTATTTAACATTTAGAGTTTTGTTTGACAAGTGAAGGTGTCCTTCGCTTTTCGGGCGAAGTGACAGTAGGTTTTCAAATTTAAGAGTGAGAATATAAGGAATGAAAGGAATGAACCACATATAACCAAATGAAAATACATTGAAGAATTGATTACTTCGGTGGTTAATTTCTAGCTTACAACTTCTTTATATTATACAATTTAATTACAATAGAGAATTTTCAATGCAATTTCTCAATAACTAGCAACAATGAAAATGTATAAACACGAATGTTGCATTCTGATGGTATATTACAAAAATGTTGAAATGCGTTCAATAATTATTGTTCGATGACATGATATTTGGATTCTTTAATGCACATTAGTTCACAATGATGTGAGTAGATTACGTTTTTCCCACTGGATAGGCCGTGATAGGTTGCTGCAAAGAGAAAGAATCAAAGGGAAATAACACTTTTTTCTAAAATTATGAGTGCATCAGTGATTTTACTTGATGTTATTTTTTGTTTTGTTGCTTAGGGCTAAACATTTTGGGTCATGATTTTCAGATGAAGCTAGCTGTCAAAATAGAGGCAAACCCGAAGCATCTGTTTAGGTTCATGTCCAAACGAAAACCTACTAATCAGGTGTTTTCTTCTCTCATAGAACCAGACGGGGAAGACCTCACCAACCTAGAGATGGCCGAGATCTTTAACACTAACTTTTATGATCATTTAAACCAGGCGTCCACATCTTCAGGGTACTACGCCAACCCATTGCCAGCTGACGGCTTAGGGAACATCCGTATCACTCCTGACTTAGTACTGAGGAAACAAAAATCCTTACGGCCAGGTAAATCACCACGTTGTGACGAAATTCGCCCCATAGTCTTGCAACGATGTGCAGAAGTCCTTTGTTCACCAATATGTGACCTGTTCATGCATTCACTAAAGTCATACCAATTCCCAACTGAATGGAAACAAGCTCTTCTTTCTCCAATCTCTAAGGGAGGAGACAGAAAGGACCCAGCCTGTTACAGACCAGTCGCACTACTACCAATATTATCAACGGTTGTAGAAGGGTTGGTGACGTCAAATGAGGGAGTATATGGATAAGAATAAAATACTCCATGACGCTCAACACGGGTTTCGGAAAAGCAGGTCGTGTGCATCTGATCTTTTCATTGCATGGTACAGTTGAACATCCTGTTTGGACCGAAAAATACCGGTGTACGTAATATTTCTTGACTTTGCAAAAGCCTTTGACACAGTACTCCACGGACGCCTCATTTAAACGGTTGTCGAAATGGGCTTCACCGACCCACCGGTATCTTGGCTCAGAAACTACCGTGAGAATAGGAAGTTTCTCATTAAGGCGAATTGAGTGCTCGCGAGCTGGCGTGTATCCATATCGAGATTTCCGCAGGGGACCATTCTAGGCCTATTTCTCTTCCCCATATTTATTAACGACATCGTTAGGCTTAGTTAGCTCGCCGGCATTGATCTACGCAGACGATGAGAAGATCTGGACGTGTATTAGAGGTGAAGAGGATTCGACCGGGCTTCAAAATGACCTTACATCTATTGAGGAATGGGCAGTGAAAAACCGTTTAAAAGTCAACCAACCGAAGTGTCACGTGATGCATATTCTGCCTCACATGACGCAAACGATCTATACCTCAATGGAGTTCCACTCCCTAATGTCTCCTCAGAGCGCGTTCTCGCTTTAACAACCACAGAATACCGCCACACCAGTCCAAACTATGTAGAGGACGCGGCTAAGGCAGATGCGACTCTTTACTTTATGCGTAGATAACTTGGTGCTTTCACATCACAATTATTTTTGACCTCATCTAGGACGTACGCGCACCCACACCTGGTGGTTCACAATGTCATCGCACACCTGCTTAAAAGAGACATAAATCTATTGGGTCAAGTGCAGAGACTAGCAACGAAATGGGTGATAGGGTTGAAAAATAAACCTTACGACGATAGACTCCAGCTCTTGGGATTATTTCCCATGAGCTACAGGAGAATCAGAGGTCATCTGATCATGGCGTACACCATTTCAAACACGCCAAAACATCCCAATGTGAGCATCTTACCGATGCATCACCACCACTCCCCTCGAGGCAATCCTCGAAAGACTGCACATCAAAGAGCGAATACTCAGATTCGTGCACACTTTTTCTCATTGCGAGTCGTCGCAACTTGGAATGCTTTCCCAGTCGAGGTAGTTACAGCCCCCTCAGTGGACTGCTTTAAGAAAAGACTTGATAATCACATACGCACATACGGACTATCACCCCCCTCTTGGACAAGCTGTTCATAATGCCAATGTTGAGACCTGCTAGTTCTTATCATTGCCATCTCCTCAGATCACTCAATTAATCTATCTCGCCTATTATCTCTGCTTCCTCTCCCTTGCTTACACGTCGGTCCTCTCTCACAATCCTCACTACCAATTAACAAACTAAATTCATCTACATATTACTGTTCTGAAATTTTATTCATAGTATCATTAGAATTTTATTCTTATTACATTTATTACTCTCGACATTGCAACTAACTGATCTTAAGTCTGGTAATGTGATAGCTGCTGGTATCCAGAAACCATACTACCCTGAAACAAACGTTTTCATTCAAATCCCGAGACGTACAAACTGACAACCAACTGCCAACTGACTAGAATTAGACAATCGAGTGGCTAGACCTCAATCCATTGGACATTACCGAACACCTGGGACCGTACCGAAAGAACAAGAATCGAGCGCAAAGAAATCAAATTGGTTTACACACGCTTGTGAAAAAGATTTTGGTTATTGGATATTGTAGAATGGTGTGAAGCTGCTATAAATCTGGTAATGCAGTTTCAAACCTATTTTCTTACATTTATTTTCTTAGTTAGTGCTCAAATATTATTATTAACTATTTCACACGGCTTTTTGTCATATCCTAGTGCGATTTACTTCGTTCACAGTCATTTTATTTGTATTTGTTTTGACTGTATGTAGGGATGGTAAATCGTAGTAGGTAATCCACAGCTAAGTACATTTTCTCAGTGTAGCCGCTTATCTGACTTGATGACCTTTCGCTCACTGGAATAAAAATTCTGAATTCGCTCATGAAATTGTTGCCGAAACTTTTATGTTAGCTTTGATGAAAAAACGCAGTTTGAATCATTGACGAAATACTTCATTTGTTTTATCACCAGTCAATGAAAATTCGCGATATCTTACTTCGTAGTCATAAACAGCAGTAAACTGGACGAATGTGATGCATTGTCTCTAGATAAACTCACGCGAATAAGGCTTTTTTAAGTCATATCTTCGGAGAGAATTTTCAGTCCCGAATACGTATCTCAAATAAACAGGTCTACGTTCAAACTTGCTCTGTCGTCCGATCTGCATTTGTGTTTGAACTTTAAAGCAGGCAAGTTTGCATGGCATGAGTGGATTGAGAAAGGGGATAAATGAGTGACGCAATGTAGAATACCAGCGATTGACATCTATTCATTATGAGTACTATTTGTGAAGACAAAAAATGGAGCGAGAATCATTCTTCTAGTTGCTAGTGTTTGTTGGGCAGAAGATTTTGCTTACTTCCGGCTCTTTTTGATTGATTAGGCAACTAGTCATTTATACCGAGGTTGCTCTTAGACGCTTGCTACTTCTGAGATTCATGTTACCGATAATGTGCTTGGATAACTATTCTGCCAGGACAACGTAGATAATGCTTACTCAGGCACTTAGGGTATGACTTAGAGGTTGACATTTAATAGAAAAAAAGATAGAAACTGAAACTTATATTTCACAATGTTTTTGACAAACTTTACTCTTATTCCTGAACTTTCGGCTGCTATGTACAGTCTTCCAGCTTCTTACTCGTTGAAAATGTGCCTGTATCATACTGTTCCTATTGGTTAAATGACGTAAACTTGCTGTCAGAAGAAACCCTACTTATTCATCTAACTACGCTATGTTTTACAGCAAATATGGAAGCATTTGTCGAGTTTAGGGTTACCCTCATAGGAGGGGGCTTCTCTTTCGAAACGTTCTGGCTTTTGAAAAGGCGGTATATTTTGGCCAGGGTATTGCGCAGTACTTATCCGATTGTTCTCTATCAAAGGCAGTCCTACCTTCTAGTAAGCTACCTTCCGACACTGAAACATACAATAAAACAACTTAGTCTGAAATCCCTGTCCCTGATTGTTAGCCTCTTGTGAGTTGCGGTGTTGCCGCTCTCCTTCTTCACCTTCATCCACTGTTCCGTATTGTTAACGGGTACAGTTTTATCGGTGTTTTTGTTTGGGTTTTCGGCTGCTTTGGTAGCCTATTTCACTATCTTAGTCTCAGGAGATTTAAGTTTACCTTTTGAGACTTTTGAGCCGGTTTTGAGTGAGGCCTGTGGCTTCGCTAATGCCTCAGTTAATCTGCAGAAACACGGACACGGGTGAATCAGCATAAATCCATAGTACTCTCTAGGTACTATAGAGCCACAACGACAATCGACTGATTTACGATAGAAACCGCATCCAATGGAAGAGTCGCTGATTTTGTCTGACTTCGAACAGGCGTTACAGTAATCGTTAAGCGATTTCTGGAAAACAGACTGTGTTAACTGAACTTCAGCAAAACCTTTTCCTCTTTGCTTATCTCGCCTACTGAACGTTTTAGGAGTAGAAATCTGAGGAGTGCCGTTTTGGTTTCTCAGTTGGAGACCCAGTGGATGGGTTTGGGTGGAGTGATCCGAATTACGAACACTACTCCGAGGAATGCCGTCGGGTTACGGTTTGAGTTTTTCACAACCCTGTCGCTCGATATTGGGATGTTTGACTTCCTACTCACTCCGGGATTTATACATCTACTGGTTTTCCTTGTTTTTATAGTGTAAGAAATGGTTTATCTTTGTGTAGTTTCTTGAGGCGATTTCGTAACATGCATGTCCCAGTCGTTTTACCTACCGTTTTCTTGATTTAACATTTCAAGATTTCAAACTTTGTGCTGTTCCATATTACCGAAGAAATTGAAATTTTCTAGTATTTTTGTGGATCAGCCTATTTTTGTGTACTTTTTGCATTAAGGTATTATCGAGAGTACTAATCAAAATAATCTCGAATGGAAGAGATTCCCTCATCTTGTCACTCTGACCATTCTCATAAAGAAAGGATCAGTAAACTGGTAATATTCTTTGGGGGTATCCCAGGTTTCGAAAAAAGCATAGAAATTAAACAGGTCAACGGAAGGTAGGAAGTAGATGTTCTCAGAATGGCTTTTGTCTTCAGAATTTGTTTTTAACTCAGTATATGGTTTTCGGGAATTTAAGTTTTTACTTTGTTGATGTTTTATATTATGAGCCGGTTATACGTGCCATTCCTACGATAACTTATCTGAAATCGAGATGTTTGCTGAATATTGACGTTTGTTGAAACTTTCCCTTTAGTGACGGGACTATATTCTCTACTTGTGATGGAGAAGTAGATAAAGAATCAAGTCAAAAATGACTGGATGCATTTTCAGGTCACGTTTTCCGTCTTAACTCTATCCTGTTCAAAATATTTCAACAGACTCATGGCTTGTCGGTGGTCAACATACCTGGGCTCTTCTTCTACTAACTAGCACAACAAACTAGTCAGAACGAGCTCAAAAGTGCAGGCATCAATAATATGTAACGCAAATTACTGTAAAAATTTCCATTAAAGAAAATCAATGATATTTTTACCAGGTTAGGACATTATATAACGTATATATCAGAATAATTCACTGGATATCCATAAACATTCTTTAAAGGTCGCCATAGTTTTAATCGCTCTCTCTGTTTGTGACAAAGGTTGTGGGGTTGCTTGAATTTACGCAGGGCTTGGTATTTGTTCGTTCTTTGTGTTTGTGTTTTGACTTAGTTCTAAATTTTCAGACGTATTTTAGTTCATCATAGTAAGGTTTTGCATGTAGGGTCGTGACCAGAATTTGCACGTCATTTCAGTTGACATTAAATGCAATTGTCACAGGAAACAGAAAGATGACTGTCGTCCTGACATCCAATATCCATGAAGCCGACCACAAACCTGCAGTGAGCTTATAACTCCTCAACTTTATTCCGTATGTTGTCTCAAATACATGGGATATTGGAAGGTATTTATGAAGTACTCGTCAAAATAATCTGGAATGGAGTAGATTCTCTCAGCTTGTTACTCCACGTATTCTCGTTAATTCACTGAAATTTTATCCGCACTAACAAGCAACTGATGGTCTACAGGGATTAAGACGCGTAAAAACATATTTGCACGTTTATATACTCTATTCATCCATTGTTGAGTTTGGAAAGTCTTCATTAGTCGGATTTTACACATACCGGGTTCTTTAGAACTCAATAAACCTCTTAACTTTCGTCGACATCAGATTGGGTTGGAATTAATAAACACTAGGCATCTGAGTCATTTAAGGCCTTTGGAAGTCTTTGAATGTAAGTGTATAGATGGTCAGTAATATAGTCGGAAGTCTAGGATGGGTCGACACTTGTTGCCTATTGTCCGATGACCTACAGTTGTCCCTGTAGGTAGCGTATTCATCACATACTGACCTATGGTTAATAAGTTCACTCACTAGACTACACAAAGTAATGCCGCCTGAATTTTTTTAGATCAAATTTACGGACGACTTTTGGGCGACACCATGGTGAGCTTGAGAAAATTCGTTTACTTACTAGGGTCTGAAGATGGCAATGATTTAGTGTAAAGGGTTTAAGTTGGGGTAAGAAGTTAAAAGTAAAGGTCGGGAATTAGAGTTAGAGTTTTTATCTCTAATTTACATTAACTGTAATGCCAAGATTGAAGTGTACACAGAACTAAGGGATAAGTGACAACTATACGAGTAACCAGAGATGTGTGTAGAGCTGTAGTTGTGAAGAATGATATGAATAAAATATTCTAAGGATATTTATGAAGCCAATGCTCACGTTCTTGGTCTCCCAAAACTAATTTTTCACTTATGTTAACGGTGTTTTGACTAAACTTCATGTACAGTGGTTTTACAACTAGTCGTCCATCCCATAGTTTTTCAACACTCGGAATTTAATATCGTTGAGCTTTTATATATGACTCACAGTTTTATTGTCGAGGGCGATAGCTAAGATCTTATGGATATTTTTTTCTAATAAGTTCCATGTGATCAGAAAGTTTAGCTTAATTGTTTTTTTTCAAAATTTTGGTTTCACGAGGGTATTCTGATGTGCTGCATTTTATTAAGTTTAGTTTATTTTATAAATCCATTTCAATTATGAACTTGAAAACTTTGTTTTTCACCTGAAGTACTATGTTGTGAAATGTGTTTGGAGCTCCAGGGCACTTCGTTTTGGTTTTTTTCCTTTTTCAGTGATAATTAGTTTCCGCATGATGACAATACGGTATATTTTAAGCTGCATATAATGTTGTAAAGATACTTATTGTATATACTTTAGGATTTATGATAAATGTCCAGATTTAATACATAAAATCTGTACAGCCTTTTATTTTCTTGAGTATTTTCTGCGTATATCCCCTTGAGTATGAATAGCTGTAACACAAAGTTCGATTTGAAAACTACTAAAAATCAGAATTAAGTAGTCAACAAACCTGAGGTTGAGTGTTCTATCTCAGAGCATTGAATAATAAGGCCTAATGTTCTAGTTTAAGCAATTTCATTATATGGCTGACTGCAAATCCTTATGGTTTGGAGAGGGTTTTTTCAGTTGTACTGTTTCCTCGAGACTAAACAACGGTGTCGTACTTGGGGGACTGCTAGCTGTTAATGAGTGTCTAGATAGGTAATAGGTCTATATATTCGGTACTTAACCGGTTTAACTTTTAACACCATTGTTATTTAGTCTCAATACCTCTATAGTTTGAGACGTTTGTGTGACCAGTATCGTTTTGATAAGTTTTTATATCTCCATATTTATCACTAGCTTCTAATGGGCTTTCCAGTGCTATCGCGTTGGATGTGTTTTGTGACAGTAACCTTTTTATTGAAGCCAACGTTAGCTTGAAAACCACGACTAGAACGGGATTCCATTTTCGTTGGGATAACTGGATTAGAAGAACAAAGTTTACTGATTTTTATATGTAGCATGTCACATATGGTACTGTATAAAATAACAGATGTTTCTCATAGGCTTAACAAAAATTCTGTTTCTTGTCTTTTGATACATTAGGCTTATCATTATAATTCAATTATTATCTTTAAACTTCAGCGATTTCACATTTACTCTGTTTTAATTGTCTGGGAATAAAGTATCATTGAAGTTTTTATCCTAGTATGTAAGGTTTCTTATAAATTTTCACCAGTAAATGCATATGCTGAGTAATTTTTAGTCTCCAAATAGTGACGTCCACGATTTCATGAAGCATTTTCGGTGTTGTTATTCACCGCCCATTTCAGTCACTAACATCTTGTCGCTTCTTGGCTGCAACTTATGATTTAACTGATCATCCTAAATAGCCTTTCTATTTTTCTTCTATTTTCTTCGAAAACATTTGATTCAACTTGTTTTCATCCTATTGTAAACTTTAAGATTGCATTTAAATATCCTGTATCCCACTGATAGTTATTTCATCATGCTGCAAATGTACTTGGTTAAGGTTAAGTTTCACGGTAATTGCTCGTTTACTGCTTTCAATCATCCAAGTGTTTTTCTGATCCCATACAATTGTAACATTTATTGAATTGTAAATCAACTTCCTTTACTAATGTTTTCGTAAATCATGCCATTGCCGATAACATTTTGTTCGGTATAGTTAGTTTACTAAAAAATATGTTATTTATGCTTTTCAGTTACAGATCTGTCCAAAATTTCTCCTGATGTCATAAAGATCAAGGATACACATGGGAGGAGCATCCACTAAAATAGCGTTTGAAGTGTGTGTGGTAACGGGAGACTACAGTGGTGATGAATTGGGCCCTGGAGTTAACATGGTCATGTTTGATCACTGTGGTAATCAGTCACCAACGATTACTTTAGATAATATTTTTCAAAATGATGATGACTATACACAAGCGAAATTCACCATTGATTTACAGGCCTGGAGTCGACTGAAAGTAAATCATGATTTACCCAATATTGATGATTGTGTAATATAGGTGTTTAAACGATTGCATCATATTGAATTTTGGTGTACTACTCAGTCTTATCCTCCACCTGCTTGGTTTCTAGATAGAGTGATTATTAGAGATAGAAGATTTGGGATGACTGCTGAATGGAAGTATTTCTTCTTTCCTGTACATCAGTGGATTAGCCAAGATCACCAATATGTTGTCCATGACTGTGAGGCCTGGATTCCTCAGTCAGAACCGTTTCCGGAGTTAAGAGAAGAGGAAGTTAGTAGACGTATGCAATTTTTTACCTTCTTCCAACGTTCAAAGGGTTTACCAGTTGAAGTGAGTTAGTTTATGTTTTAACCAAACATTTTACTAATCAGTTACAGGAAATCCCACCTTCTGAGCTTTTCTCATCAGACTCTCGGGTAAGCAATACTGATGGTTGTTTAAAATTTATATCTAGTGGGATATTGAGCCTTTAGTTCTGGAGGTTATTGAGCGTACTGGTCTTGCTGAAGAGTACACAAGTGAAGAGTCGTGGGGTTCTCTTGATGCATTGGGAAACTTTTATAAGAAATATAATATTACCGAACCCGTGGTGAGTAAATTTTAGTTGACCAGATATTGTTTGAATTCTCCAATTTTGAGTAAAACCTAATAAGAATTCATAGATTTTACACAACAGTAATGATTCAGTTTTTTTCTTGAATTTCCATTCAATTAGCTGTAAATAAAAGTAAGACAGAGCAAACTGCTGCGCAGTACACTCGTCTTTTGTACGGTAGACGGATATCTCGTCTACGTCGTCAATGACGCAAGTTGGCAAGAGCCAATCAAGCCTTCTGTATCCGTGCTGAGATTTGGTTAGTCACCAGGCCATCAGCGTTGATGGGACTGCTATGATAAGTGAAGCAGTCAATACACCCAACTATTTCACTCCCTACCACTAGTTCAGATGCCGACGCAAGCCAATCCCGAGTATTTCATACTATCGTTAATACTTTAATTATTGATCTGTTTTGCTATTCATTTCTGTTTTATCTGAATACTCTGACATGTTTTGGTAACTTGGGCCACTACACACTTGTGTCAAATGTTACACTGGTTATGAACAACTATCTAATTATCTTATGTGTTCGTTAAGCAATGTAAAAGATTTTCGGGTCGCGGTTGAAATTATCCGACGTTATGTTGATGTAAAGTTTCATATAGGTTTGTCAAATTTAAACTGAAAGTACATTAATAATCTCACTGAGAATTTCTAAATTATCTGTCTCAATTACTCACTGAGTCGAATTCCGTAGTTTATGAGTTATGTAATTATCTTTATTCTCATGATTGTATACCTAATTATTTAGTGCCTCCTGATTATTTTCTTATTTATATAAAAGATTCTTCTAATTTTTTCAGAGTTTACAATTTTGGATGATGAATGACATTTGCTTTGGTGCACAACGCATTCGTGGATGTAATCCATTCACTATTCAAATCTGCCGTGCTTTACCAAAAAGGCTAGTCGATTTTGTTTTCAATCTCTCTATGATGGATCACTAGTTAATTTTTATCTAGTTAAGTAGTTGACCTTAGGTTAAATTCATCAGATTATTGGTGTACGAAATGAGTTGGCTAACCGGTCTGTATCATCCGAGGAGTTTAAGTAAAGAGACTTCTAAATGACCCCTCGATTTCCATGTTTTGTCATATGTTGTTTATTCTTGAAAGTCATTATATTCATGTGATAGTAACTACTGTCTTGCAACCTGATTTACTCCTGTTGTGCACTTTTACGCTCTTAGCTGTAGTGATTTGGGTAAATTCACTGTTATCGACTAGTAGTATATGTGGTTAACTTGTTTTAATAATTGTGTAGTAAAATGTGAGTATTAACAGTAAGTGCTAACGAAGGTTCTAGGCGTTGTAAATACAGTTGCATCGTAGAAACAATCAATAAAAGCCCTGTTAATATTTATGTTGCATTTGTCCTCTGCCAAATTTTAATCTGAATTCCTCATGACCTTTTCCTCTTTTTTAAAATTTATTTCACTGGATTATACTTTCTGAATCATATCTTCCATCCCTAATCTTCTCTATTACTGTTAACACTTCTCCTACTTCTACTACTATGGGATTTGAATTAACGATTCTATCTGTTTGTTCTTATGTGGTATGACAACTAGAACTGATGTACGTACGTACGAAGTCCTAAGTTGTAGCTGACTAAATGACTGATTAATATTAATAATTAATATCAAAGCATCAAATCATAACTATTAAGCTCAATGCGAAGAAATAGTTTGAGCGACAGCGATTCATCGTCATTACTCTGATCTTTATCAAAGTGATTACTATTGAATTTCTCTGTTTATTAACAGTTTTCATTTTCTATTATGGTCTGTTTTCTATAATGCTACTAGTTTGCATTTCTTAGTATGTTTAAAAACTTGCTAATTTGAAGTATAGTTGAATCAGTTAAAAAAAATATTATTTAAAAGTACCCCATAGTTGTGAATTTTGCATAATCTTCTTTAACAGCGAGTCGTTTTTGTTACTTTGTTGCAAAATTTGCCAACATACATAACTCTGAGTTTGCTGACGCAGTTACTGTCTATGCTGAAGATCAGTTGCTTAACCCGAATCCATATGTTGTTAAACGACCAATAGGGTTAATTAAGCACTTAGCATGTTTCGAGTCTTATAACCCCTAAATTGGTGTACGCACAGAAGATCTATGGTAAAAGTTGATTGCCTAGTTAACTCTAGTTAACTTATGAGGTAATAAAGGACAAGAGATATCACATCGGTCACTCAGTCAAATGAAAGTTTACAACTATAGAAATACGGAAATTTCATAAACAAATTGTTTAAAAGATGTATATACAAAATACCTAAACTTAATCTTCCGGGAGTAGTTTACAGAGCTTCGCATTTTCATTTCCTTTCGCATTCCTAACATCGATCGCTAATTTAACTCTCCTCAACCCCATTAGGTAAATTTCAATTCTATTTCATGCTTTTTGAATGATTATTGTGTAGGCTGACATTTCATTTCGATCAAACTAATACAATAATCACATAAAAGCAATTATTTAAAAGCCATGTGGAATAGTTCTTTCGAAATGTAAACCACTATATTTGTTTTAAACGAATCAAAACAGTCCAGGAAATATTATCATCCTTGAAGGATTCATCGACAGCTTGTTCCAGTCAGCAGCAGAAAATAAGGTATTTTAGCTTATTTTCAAAATGATGAACAAACTTTTTGATAATATGTCACAAAATTTGTCTGAATGTGTTCTATCATCGAAAGAGTTGATGTTTTAGATGACTTTTTCACAAGCAATTTGGCAACTAGATTTTTCTGAATCTTATATTCACTGTTACTTCCTTGTACCCTGCTACTCATAAGTAGTATATATATAACTATCGATAATATAAATATCCATCGAGTAATGACAAGTCAACCATCAATATTTTATATGTAAACTTGTTTGTTTGAATAGTAAATAATTAGGAATATTATGATCAGAGTAATTCTCTCTTCCTCATTCAAGCTACTAACTTATTTCTTTGTGTTTAAATTGATTTTAGTTTTGAACTGGTAGCGAATTCACTAAAGCCTTATTTAGAAGGTTGGACATTGAGACAAATGGTATCAGCTGGTCGTTTGTACATACTTGATTTTCATATAATGCAAGGACTTAGTTGTAAACGTGGTCGAGAATTGTGTGCACCATTAGCAATTTTTTTCTATACTGAAAAGCGACAATTAAAGCCACTTGCTATTCAATTAGATCGTAATTCAAATGATACAAGTGCGGTAAGTATTCTATTTCAAATTTCCGATTTCTAATCTTTTACATGTTAGTAAATCTTAAAGTAAGTATACATTTATCATTATGACTAGTGGTCTTTTAATTTTGATCTTTTAAATGTTTGATAAGGAATGCATGATAAGCACAACCATCCACACAAGAAAAGCTACACAGGTCATACAATTACGATAGCATAATAGTATACTAGTATTGTGAAGAAGTATGTGTTTGAATGTAAGTGAGTTCACAGATTAAATACAGCTCGTCAGCCATATTTAACTTAGCAATAACTATATATATCCATTGACAAGGCTAGATAACTATATCCAACCGAATACATGATCAGAAATTTTTTGTAGGTTCAAGTGCAAATTTTAAATCTATAAAATGTCATTCAATACTCTTGAGTTGAAGCAGCCATATTTTTAAATCCTGAATGCGACTCGAAAAAAACTATTGGATCACGATTCATTAATACTGTTCGAGTAATAACTCTGTTCATTTACAAATATCATACTATTATTATTATGATACTTCAGAGACCGAGATCCGAAGTAAATATGCACTTATATTTTTCTACAATATTGGATTTCAAATACAGTGTACTGTAGGATTAATATAATAAATTGAAAAGTAGAATTCTTTATTAATCCAATTAATTGTAGTACCAGAGTAAAGCAATAATAATTAAAGTGGTAGAATAATATGAATTCATTTATTTCATGGATTCTACTGAGCTACTTACAACTGAGAAACGATAGTAATAATTATTTTTATTCTGCCTACATAGTTTAGAAGAAAAATGCTAAACGGAATATAGTTCCTGGAAAATAAAATTCGATATCAAACGTTACGTAATTGGTAGATTAACAGAATAAAATGAATGGAGAGCAAAACTTGAGGCAGAAACAAAGGGAAGAGATTTATGATTTACAGGATGAAATAAAATGCTACGCATACAGATAATTTCGATTGTCCTCACATTTAGGTGATAATTGGTTATTGAAGTTAGTTCGATTACTTTTCGGTTCATGGATTCGAAGCTGGTATATTTTTTTTTATTAGTTCACTACAAATTTACCAAAATATTTTTCACAGTAATAGATTTTTAAAACTTGCTACAAATGTAGGCGATACTAAGCATACTGAGTGCTATTGTAATATGATTGACGGCATTTTAATAGAAACTCATTTCACTCTCATATAAAATAATTAGTTTGATTCTGTTGAAAAACAACGCGAACATAACAATCTATTCTAAAAAATATGATATTTTTGTCAATTGATCGAACCTGTGTGTGTACCTTTCTACTACTAATGTTTTACTTACCGTATGCTCAATAAACGTGAATAAATACTGTTTGCAGTATGTTTTTTTTTTCCTGGTATAAATCATATTATGTATTTATATCGACCTCAGTAGTGTAGTCTTCTTTTTTTCTTCTTCTCCTTATGACTTATTTACCATTAACAAAGCATAATGTTTTTATTTTAGATCATTTTTCCAACTGATCCAAGTTCAATATGGTTACAAGCGAAATTATGGGTTAATCTAGCTGATGCTTGTCATCATATGATTGTTGGCCGATTATTAACTCATTTAATATTAGAATCAATCTATGTATCATTACGACGTAATCTATCACAATCACATCCAATATATCATTTAGTTGCACCGCATTTTCGCAGTATTCTACCTGTAACAAAGTAATTTGTAATTTTTTTTATTGAGTTCATTTTATTAAAGATTGTATATTAGTTATAATTAATCTATGCTAACTAATATAAGCTATAATAATTCTGGCAAACTATTATGTTTCAATTTGAATCATGGTATTCCACATCTAAACATATTCCAATACTAGTAATTCTTCTATTATTTCCACCACTATGGGATTCGAACTAACGGTAGCGTCTGTGTGCTAATGCGGTATGACAACTTGGACTGGCATCTGTACGTACCGAGTTCTACGTTGTAATTGACTAACTGACTGAAACAGATTCTATCGTTAATAGACAAATTCCAGTCAATATTTTATTTTATTTAGGTCTTGATATTGTAATGAGACACAACACTGATTTAAATAAAATCCAAAATCGATTGTTAGTTCCACTGAAATAAGCACTAAATCCGTTTACATTTTTTACTGAATAATAATTTCTTCTAATATATCATCTAACTTCATATTGTATTTCTTGATCACTGAAATTCCAACAGAATTTAAAATAAGAACAAGTTGATTGTGAATCATAATTTTCTCTTTTGGGATCTTTTTCTATCTATTCAACAGAATAATGTTGTATTTTCTTTATTATTCATTGTATTTGGACTCATTAATGTCGACTATGATTATTGTTTACTGCATAAAAAGTTTCATAACTTTGTCAGTATGATCATATTGTTGATTAATTTAATCACACATTTTCATGATTTCATAAATTTTCAGTGATTCATATCCGTAAGATCTTTATTTATTTTCATCAGTGAATACTGCATATACGTATATCTTAGTAGGATGTAGATTGAAAAAAAAGTCAGCTTAAAATATTCGTTCTTGTTCATAATCAATATGTATACCGTATCACTGTTTTGGTTCACTGAGCTTGTAAACTTAAAAGACGCTGAATTTCCTCGTAATTACTTATTAATAATTGTTTTATTTGTGAAATTGAAGAAAGTTAAAAGAATGGACATTTGAAAATGGATGGATATCTCGTAATATTCAATTGTCACGTAAAGGAATTAAACAGTTGTTAAGACGAGCTTTTAAAAAATGGCGTTTCGATGTAAATGCAAATATTTATCGTGAACTGGAGTCTAGAGGGGTAAGTCTTTTGATTCATTTTAAGTGAACTGTAATATCTGTTATAGTTTTATATAGGATCATATATATCATGTTTGAATGATCTGTTAGAATTTCATTCACAGTTTATCTTATTCTCTAATTCAATTGCGGTAATCCTTTAATTTTAGTGCTGTTCCTGAGTAAAATTGTGAGAATAAAATATCAAGTTTAATATAGTTTCACTGATTGTGTTGTCGCATGAGATAGCTGAATTCCAATGTCGTATAATAAAAGTACTAAGCTGCATTTATTTTACATTAATCAGTGTAAATAAAATAATAGAGCAATAGCGTTGTTAATTATATCTTTTATTCTAAATACCTAATTGCTTTGTTTTCTTTGATGATATTTTATTTCGATATTTTTAGGTATTTGATCCGAATGGTTTAGGTAATTATCCATATCGTGAAGATGCTTTATTAATTTATCATGCATTGGAACAGTTTGTTTCAAGTTACGTGCGTATATTTTATCGTAAGTATTATTTAGGTTGTTTGTTTTATGCCAGTTTCTTTTCATCCGTACTTCTGTTGTTCTTTTTCTCAACCTATTTAGCACTTTATATACGGTGGATTATGTGACGTGAACTGAGGTACATAAAAAATGTTAGTAATATAATGAGATCGTACATGTTCACATTCTACGTAATGTCACGGTGCTAATGATGATAACTATTTATGCAAAGTCAGATAGATAGTTTATAATATCTTGTTAACGAAACATTAAATTGTGAGTGTTCTGTAGCACACAGTTAACTCCATTAAGAATGATAAAAAAATGAACGATGAAAGAACCATGAAAGTTATTTATTGATTTGATTTTGAATATTTTACCAACTCTGGGCGATTGTGGTATTTTACAAAGCTAAAAACCAATTAAGTTGAGTGAATTTATTTTAGTCACTAATTTTTTTCAGATAGTTAGATGATTTACCACTCTTGTTTTCCTTCAAAAAGGAAACAAAATTGAATTATATAATTCGTGTTCACACACGAAATCGTAGTTGATACTTTTTCCTTTGCTTTTTTATTTGTGTTGATGTCAAATAGAATGAAAATTAAACAGATTCTTGGTACTATTTCCCAGTGTTGTCAATTGTGACTTTAGTTTCTAGGGTAAAAACGTATCAGTTGGTGGATTGATTGAATTTGAGCATGAACGAGTCGGGATCACCAGAGGTGGTAGTGTAATGGTTGAAATTATTAGGACCAAATAGAGTTTGTGATTTATTTGAAGTAAACGTAGTTCACTAGCATAGTGCTTACACCTTATCTTCGAACGTTCATTTGCAAAACAAACGAATTATCGGCTGTTTCCTTCCACATGTCTTCTAGTCTTAAAAAAACACTAATGCCGCCATACATCCAGATCTGATACTCTTCGCTTCCACAGTAACTTTGGAGCGACTCTCCACTGCTTACTAAACATAAACCGCATTGTAAGTAGTATACACCACAGTATTAGTAGTAGTCAATTGCTTATATAATTAAGAGACTATGAAAATAAGTTGCTATTAATCTCCTTTGAGAATTTCCATTGTAGTATTACTACTTGATTAATAAAGCATGTTTAATGGAAAATGTACCCAATTTTTCTCTCAGCAAACGGTCATTAATGTAAATTTTTAATAAACTGAAAAGTTGTTCTATAGTTTTTTAGTGAAAAGTATACTTTAATCAGGTTATTGATATACCTTCAGTTGATTATTTTATATAGTTAAATAAATTTAAGTATGACAAATCAATTTATCATTACTTCTAATCGTAGCTAATGGAACCGAACAAATTATACATGATAATGAACTACAATCATGGAGACATGAAATTGCTAGTCCGATGGAAGAAGGTGGTTTGGGTTTAGTTGGTGTTCCGGGTAGTACAATTAAAGTAAGTGATCTATTAGTTTGTTTCTTTGTTTTATTATTCCCTTTCTGTATATCTTTATTATTATTTTCAAGTACTCAAAAATCTCTAGAAACCGGTAAGTCTGTGGCACTTACAAAAATGTATACTATACAGATGGACTAAATCACACAATTATTTTTATGTATGAAAACATCAACTACATGCATAATACTTTTAACTAATAATTAAATAAGTGTTAATCAGTGAGTAATTAATTTATCCAAGGTCTAAGTATACTTTTAAATGCTCCACTATTCTGTTCTGTATACTGTATTTCTATCAGTGTGTTATCGAAGATATCAAATTTTAAGAAACTTCTTTCACAATTTACAAGATTAGTTATTATGAACGCATTTCGTTTATGGTTGTTTATTCAACGATCTGTTTGAAGTTAGTCAGATTACAGTTAGCTGGCAAGATCAAGTATCTCACTAAAGTTAAGATTTAGTAAGATTTAGTAGTCAAGTTACATCACGATTCTATCTTTTGTTTCCTAAATACAATAGGACTCAGTGTTGTTCTTTTATTTTCACTAAATTATTGACTAAAATTCCATTTATTCTGTAATTGACTGATTGATGAGTATCAACAATCAAGAAACGTTAATTCAACGGACTTTCTAACTTGGTTTGGAAAATGTGTGATTTCAACAAATCGCTATCTAAAATAGACTGAGCTGTGTAACTTCATGTACATTTGAATATATATGACCGAATACAAATGATGAATAATTACTTAATTTATTTCCTATTTATTATTATTATTATTATTATTATTATTTAATAAATTTAATTTCATCTATATTTCCTCCTATTCAGCTTCGTTCAAATTCTAGACAGGAAAATTATTTACATGACAATGGCATAGAAGAAATATTCGGTCTAACTACAGTTGAAGAAGTAGTTAAATTTATAATGGGGATTCTGTATCTTGATATTATTGTTGCTGGTTCAGCGCTTCGATTACCAATGTTTGATGAGTATGGCTTTCCAGCGCAATATCCACTAAGTCTGTTTGGTTCGCCTCCATTAGATAGAAATACATTTTGTTAGTTTGTACAAATTGTTTTTATGTGAAGGAAATGATGGGATAATTCTAAAGTGTTTAAAATGTGGTGGAGTTTTTTTGACTGAATATAGTCGATGGTTGAAATTGCCTTTAAGTTAGACAAAACATTCATTTAAAACAAGTTTTACTTTTGTTACATGGACATCGAAGCTTTTATATCAAAGTCAAGTACACTTTTCTATTATTTTTTACATTTTAATGGAATATATGGTACTAGGGAAGATATAATAGGCTTTATATTCAGTGCTATTCTTCGTAAATAATGCTTTGTTATTGTATTAATTTACGTGGCTATTTAAATAATCCAAACCTTTTACTTCCAGATAACTTATTGTCCACAATTATTGTTAAGATTTACGAGAAATAATAATAAGAGAAATACTGAACAACTCCGTGTTTAAGCATAATAGCTATTTACTGTTTCAATATTTGAAAAGTTGATCAACTAAGTAATATCATCATTCCTAGTTCCAAGGTTATTTTTGCTTTATACATCTCTGTATACTCAATAGGGGAATTCAAAGTCCCTTGCTCAAAGTTCTACTATTATTTATAACAAAAATCATCGTTTTTCTGTATCGTTAATTTTGTAAATTGAAATATTTTCTTCCTGACACGTATTTATGTAGTCTTTGAGGAGTTAATCACTTGATTCTCGCCATTTTTTAAATTAGATATAATTTCAACATATGACGAGTGCCTGTTTCTAAAGAAACTTAAATTCTGTCCGTCATTAAAATCACTTAGTGAGTGATGTAGCGGCGGAATTATTGTAAATATCTCTACTTGTAGCCTATCAAGTCAGTGTCATTTGAATATATAGGATATTTATGACTTTTGTGTTTCGTTTTATTCACTTTATATCTATTTATCTTCCTTGGGATTTATTTTATGCAGCTGATGGTACACTACATGGTGCACATGGTAGTGTGTTTAGCTTTTCAAATGTCCAAGGCCTTGATCGTGTATTGACTTCATTACCTAATCGTCAAATGACAGTAGAAACTGTTCTTTACACTAGATTGGCTAGTCGAGTTCAGCAGTCTGTTTTAGGTCAATTTGAATCCGATTTCATATTTAAAAAGAAAGCAGTGGTTTTATTAGATCAGTAAGTTGTGTTACTTGCAATCATTTTAATTAAATGCTTATAATAAATTCAGTTCCATTCATATTTGTTAGTATTGCCGCTATACTACGGATATACTTGAAAAGTTTGCAAATCTTTTAGTGGTTATTTACCAACCGGAATTTAGCAAACAACTGAGTACATTACATTACATTTTCGTATTGTCATAAAAGATGAGAATTTCAGTTAATAATTTGTCGTGATTATTTTTTTGGCTCTGTAAATATTGAGAACAGCATCTGACGATTCCTTATCATCATTCTAATATATAAACTATGTTGTTATTATTAGAGGTTTCCGCAAACATTGATTTGTAAATTCGACTCATCCTATTAGAGAAACTATTTCTAACTATAAAAATTCTACAACCATGAAAAACACTTCAAACACAAAGCTAACTATTTATTTGAAGATAAGACTTGATGTGGCTTATTTTGCTGTACCAGTAAGTAGATTATTGTAGTATCATTGTGTCTTACATAAATCTGTTTGTTGTTGTTGTTGATCAATATCATTTGCCTGCAACATCCTACAGTAAATATCACTAAAAGTTTTAATGCACTCTTACGAATAAACGGCATTGTAATGCATTGAAATAAACAGGATTGTACTGACAACTTGTAGATTTGAATTTATTTTCTTTAGGACTGTACTTCATTCCTTGCTTAAGTCATTCAATCAAAGAATATTTTATTATAGCTTAAGTATTAACGACCGTTTTATTAGTTAATTGTCAGCTTTCATTAAGGTCACTAAATAAGTAGGAAAAAGTAGTTCACATACACCCTCATTCAGTTATATTTTATTTGTTTGTGCAGAATAACCTATTCACCTGATTTCAGAATATTTGACAAAGGTTATACATGATCGCAAGAAGTTGGCACTTACTGCCTATTTTGTAAATGCGAATTTCTCTAATTTCTAAACCTGAACAACTACATGATCATCAATGTACATAAATTGAAATTTATGGTGGCCCTTTTGTATTTCTGTTACTATACAGACATATCCTTGAAAAACTAAGTGAAATTTGATTAATTCTGACCTCAAAAATAGTTCATCATTTTGGTTTTTATTAAACACGAGAAATTTATTTTATCACATGTGTCGAATTGATTTCTAGCAACTAAAGTAAAGTAAATTTTGCACAAAAATTATAGAACCATTTATTATTGTTCAGTAGTCAACATAGTTGTTCAACCTCACCATTAGTTAATAAGACAAATGACAGTAGTCCAACCATGTTTCCGGTGGGTAACTGTCTCACACCTGACACGGTTAAACTTCATCGGCCACGGCTTCTTACTAGAGTTCTGAGAATTTCATCACAAATGAGCACGTGGTGACTGTTGTTATAGGGTTGTGGAGATTGTTCAGTTTCATTGAAATCATGAACTGATCCATATTGACTAGGAAAATAAATGTCGCCATTAATAGAATAGTTCTATTTACAGAAAGTTTTACCTTTGTCATTTCACTGATTATACCTCATATTTGTGAAATTATTCACCCTAAAACATCCTTTTTAATGTTTATTTAATTTCATAGTCAAGCAATGTGTTAATCATCCGTCTTTTTACTTATACATTCATAGATTTCGCCATCATTTAGAAGATATGGCTAGGCAGATTGATATGAATAACAGTGCTCGTGATATGCATCATCAATATCGAGCTTTGGATCCTTCACTAATGCCTAATTATCCAGGAATTTGATTGATCATTAACTATATACATACATAGTCTTTTAAATCTCTGTACAAAATAGTCGTCTGTTGAGGTATTTTATATTTCCTAGTCGGCCATGGACAAAATCGATTGAAAAAGAAATACATATCTTTAATTCATTGATGTTAAGTACTTTTGCTCTCTATTATTGTGTATTCTTTATCATGGTCTATGCTAAATTTTTGTTTACAGTTACTCATTGCATTCCTATGATTCTGTGATCAGTTCATTATGATTTTCTCTTAACATTGTCTTCCAATAATTTTTCTTGTTACTTAATGTGATTTTATTTTGATATTCTCTTTTTTTTATTTACTGTAACAATAATGTTTAGTCGAGTTTTATTCATCATTTAAAATTATCTTGTATTATTTACGATGTAGCTTAAAATGTTTATGACTAGCATCAAGTGTAATCAAATAAATTCATATAGAACTCATTTTTTAAAAAAAAACACTAATTTTATTATGTTCACTTTTATTTTAATGTTGCTTATGAATAAGTTAATGTAAACTATGTTGCACTTTTATCGTCTCACTCAACATATCAATAGTATTTATTGAAATTTTTAACAACCATATTGTTCTCGACTTTCCTCATTCTACTGTTTTCTTGCGTTTTATTATAACTTAATTTAATGAAAATAGTTAATCACATACTTTATCCTCTATTTTGTGAGTTTTTTATTGAAATTTATTGAAATCAATAATTTTTAACAACCATATTATTCTCGACTTTCCTCATTCTACTGTTTTCTTGAGTTCTATTTTAACTTAATTTAATGAAAATAGTTAATCACATACTTTATCCTCTATTTCGTGAAATTTTTTTTATCACGATTAAATTATGTCAAGATTTATTCCTTTTTAACTAGTAATATCTGATACTTGTAGTTTTGACAGTCTTGGTTTTGTTGTTATTGACAATGAAGATAATAGTCGTGGATTTTTTCTTCAAAAAACTTAGAAATTATTTAATAAACGCACTTTAGTAATTTTTTATTAATTATAATATAACAATTATTTGCACTTAATCATCATTCTTGTTGTTGATTGCCTTGCGTTTGTGTTTCTTTGGTCTGTTGAATGCTTATGACAGATAATAAATGATGCAGAAGGGAAGTTTATTGATTACATTCAATGCAATTGTGTTTTTGGTCAATTGTTTGTTAAGTGTTAGCTATTTCAACCTCACATTTGTTTCACTTTATTGGTCGTTTGATCAGATAGTGAAAACTACCCAAGTAACTAATGAACAGGATTTTTATTCCTTCTGCTTATGACTTCATAGGATATTAGGCATTCATTGTTGAATTTGTCCTCTTGTTAGTATCCAAATCGTACTTAGTGATCTAGTTTTCAGAGATTCTTAAACGTTGCCTTGTTATTATGAAAATTTGTAATTGGTTCAACAAATTCTATCTGTAGTAAGTTCGAATGTAAATTGCTTTATGTTTCCTATCAGTGTCTACTTTGAGTTGTTTTTTGTTGACATTTCTGTCTTGAACTTCTCAATGTTTCATTTCTTCACTAGACCGGCTTTTATGATTTCGTTAACTCTCTTGTTAACATAAAACATCAGTGATCATAGCCTACTATCGTATATGAATAGTATTTGCATCATGTCCTAACTTTATGATTTTCATTTCAAAATATATAGAAATATAAGTATGGTGATTCAGTTAAATTCAATATTATGCTTGAGAAATTTCTGTGGAATGATCAATTCCTCTCAACGATCTGTTTCTAAAACAGTACCATTTATGGGATCTATTAGTAATCGCAACATTATTTTCAATTTTGAGTAAGTTACTTGATCTATTATTGATATCTTGTCACGAATAATTTGTTTTTTGGTCAAGTTTATATTGTTCGAATGTTGTAAATGCATTACTAAGATGATGAAAAATGAATGATGATGAATTTAATATGAATATAATTCGACTGATTCAAGATGTAACGTATATTGCACTTCGTCTGTCTGTATGTTATTATCACTATTTTTCGATAAGAATGAGTGTTAGCTAAACAAATAAGCGGAAACCAAGGAACACTGTACAAAAATTTCGTCCTAGCGTAAGATTCCTCAACACTGACTGACGATTTCCTCTCGAGAAATCGAGCGTGGAACCCTGCAATAATTATCACTTCATAATGTAAACAATCTTCATGAACATTCCCATCCTGAACACAAATGTTTGTTTTTAGCTACTTGTTAGATTTTTTCTATTCCTCGATCTCAGTTTGACGGAAAGCATGTATTCAGATTGCGTTAATACACATTTAAATTTGAATAATATGTTGTCGTTTTCAAAAATGCTTATTTGACATTACTACTAGAGGCAGTAAATTTTGAAAGTCCACTTCCGTAAAAATCAGAATAAATTCCACGATTTGTTTTATTCTACTTCTATATTCCCAGATACCATCAGTTTTCTTCATTATCTGACGCACTGAATTTTCAGTTTCAGATGTTGGTTTTATTTACTAAATAAGGTTTATCTCTTATTCAAAATACTTGTTTATTAGCAACAAGCTTTTTCTCGGCTGTTGAAGAATTGATCTCCAGCTATAGTCCTGCGAAGAACAAATTGAATAGATAATGGTAATAAATAGAACACCAGTAAGAATAACCGGATAAAATATTTAGTTACATCTCTATGATGACATTTTTGTTACTAAACTACAACAATATTCAACATATCTAAATATTTTTAGATATTGGATTCTTATTCATATAATTGATAAGGTTCCACGGTCAAGTAAATGAGGATTTTAGATACCACTGTGTAAAATATTTTAGGCTACGATTTCATTGTTAAAAACCTTTCTCTAACTTCTATCATAGAAACTGACACCGAGCGATAGGCAAAATAAAAAATGTCTTATCTTTCTCAACTCTATTCTGCTTGTGGAACAGCTTATACTATAATTGACATGAAATTCTCTAACCGTATATACAATCGATCACGAATTATACTATTTTGATATTCGTTCATGGTTCTCTGTAATTATTTTATGCTTTAAAAAATGTACTAGTTATGATTTACTTGTAAATAATTTAAGTTCACTTGTTGAATTTGTCTTGTGTACTCTGTTTATGTGATAGTATTTCACAATCCCCACTGCTTATTTAATCAATGCTATTACTGATGTTAATGCTTAGATTTAAAATAAAATACTTGTGCATTTCAACAGTCAATGGAACCTTTTGCAAATCCCACGTCGAAATCGTAGAAGTGAAGAGGTGAAAAGATATTATTCGGAAACTGGTGATTATAACCCTCCAAATCAAGATACTATTGATAGGTTTAAACGTCTTCGTTGGGGTGCATATATTCATGCACGAGCTGGTCGAGCTAAACACTTATATCGGTAAGCTATATATATATATATATATATATATATATATATATATATATATATATATATATTCGGTGCATTATTTCATTTTAAAAAATACTCATGGAACTAATGTCATTGAATGGTTTTTTTCCTGACGAAAGAACATTATGTTATTCTGTAAGCATGCAGTCGAGTTTTCCACGGTAATGTGGTTCGTGATTGAGTGCTTAATATCTATTTAAAGAAAATAAAATTAACTTATACTCGTCAAATCAGGTTTATTGGAAACCAAATCAGCACTTATCAGTTGTTTGGCACTAGACGATAGTATGGTTGGAGCTGACGACTATCATTTTTTAACATCGAGTATCTAAACTTCTTAGCTTGTAAAAATTGTTTTAAAATATTTTTGAACAAGAAGGGATTAAGTTAGGAAATGTACTTCTGTTTTGTTTTGTGATATGAATCAATGATTCTGGTAAACCATAAGATGAATGAAAGTAGTTTTTCTCCAATCGATTTTTGCGCATAAATTGCATCTAGGCGAGATCTAAATTTGGATCTTATGACAAGCATGTTTCCTTGAAACTATAAATTTGCAGTCAGATGTTTAGTATTTCCAGTTCTACTTAGTTCATACTGCTTACTTTTCGAAGGTTCTCAAAATAAGGTCTGTGTACATATTAAAGTTACTTTCGAATGTCATTCATGAATTTTCTCTCCACCGATTCTCATTTCCATTAAACTGTAGTTTCTGTTTGTTTTTCATTTTACATTGTTACGCAGACGAAGTGAATCTGAATTAAATCGGCGTTCTGAACATATTTTGACCAATCGTGCAACATCATTTTTAATGGACAATATGCTCAATCGACAATGGCGAAAACCAAAATATTATCCAAATGATATTTATGAACCATATCATAAGCGAACTGGAGTTCCTTGGGATTATAGATTGCGGAAACCGAAATTCTTTCCTTAAATGTTAAAATAATTCTTAGTCAAATTTGTACATCAAATGTTGCTATTAACTATACTTCTCATAACTAACTCACATTGGAATTAAGACGAGTCATGGACATCTATACTTTTTTTTTATTACTTTTGTTCTATCAACTCAAGGAAAAATAAATTGAGAAAAGTAGATAAGAAACCGGCTTGGACGCAATAAATCGCGCTTTTAAAAGTTCACTGGTTGTTAGAGTAATTTGGCTACCTTTTTAAGATTAAATCATGCTCTTTATTTTGTCTAACATTAGTTATTGTCTTGATAAGTTATCGTTAACAGATCCTATTAGTATTACCGATAATAATAGTTTTGTTTATGAATCGGTTCCGAGAATACTGTTGATTTGTGATCGTTCTTATCAAAGATTTTTACTTAGAGGTTTTACCAGTTTGTTGAATTATGTGATACAGAGCTCTAGTTTGTGAACATGGATTAATATGGTAGCACACAGCTCATGTTGGAATTCCTTCCGTCAGTTTAATTTGTGTTGCATATAAATATTTCGATTTATGCATTTGATCAATCTCAAACGTTTTATTCATTCTACTTTACACAACGTACATCTAGCACCACTCAATGATGATAACATTGATGCTCAACTATAATTTACTGTGCAGTAAAATCTTTTCGCGTGTCAATTACACTTCGCTTTTCGATACTGTATATCGGACTATATAAATTTTCTAAAATTCTCGTTCACTAAAGCAAGTGTTTACATGCGTAGTACTACTAGGAGTTTGTTTCTATTATATTTTTATCCTGTTTATCGATGTATGATTTTGTACTGAAAACTATTAGGTCTGTTAATTAATACTTTAATATACATGAAAACATTTTCTTTTGAATTAAACGAAATTGCAAGTGTATGGCTAAAATATTCAAACATACGATTGTCTGTTGTTTTCATAATTGTTTGAAAAATTATGCTCACGTATTAAAAAAGGTTACTGAGTCAGTAAATACTGTTTTAAAATACTCTAACCACAGGGACTCATGAAAACATAATTATTTGTACTAGTTATCAGTATATTTAAATTTTCGACTGATGTTTTTGAAACTGTTATGTGTATAAACTGTTTGAACCAACTGGATTACTTTCCAATACGAAACCTATGTACAAGTGGATAATAGGAAAAATCTTGCCCTCTATTTGTAATTGATGAAGTAAAAAAATTAAACTAGTTTTAATCACTTGGTATGAGGTATCATATAACCAATTTTATAAATATTGCAATTTTTCTCCGAATTTTGAGTAATATTAAGCCGGTTCAGTTAACACACTTTTTTTATTGTAGCTGCTGTTTCAATAAGCCTTCTGAGTTTATGCTATTTCCAAACCCGAAGTATCTTACGTAGACAACTGTTAATCAATTCTTGTATCTTCCAGAGAACCACAAAGTGGTTGTCTGAGTTTGTGCACCATACAATAGAACTTTCTTAACATTTGTATAGAAAATTCTGATTTTTTTGTGTTGGTTGACAGTTGTTTTGGATTCCAGATGTTCTTCGATGAGAGAAATATTGCCCTTGTTTTGCTAATCCGTGTCTGCGTCTGCATCAGGTCCATCTTGTGTATCGATGAAGCTCCCCAGATACGTAAAGGTTTCCACCTCCTCATGAAGTGGTTTTAGTAGGGCTATCCTCAAGCTATTGAAATGGTATATATTTGGTAAGTAAAGATGAAACTATTGTCTGTGTTACAGTGAAATTTTTACAATAATACCAAATAAGAAAGTATTCGATGTAGTCTGCTTATACAGTTAGTCTTACAAAGCGACAGTATTGACCATCACAGAAATATTTAATTTTCATTAGATTTTGTTTTAGTCTCTAAAATTATTCAATAAAAGTGTAAAATGTCAAAAGATAAATCTTTTGTTGACTATTACAAGAAAAGTATTCGTTAGCGTATTCAAATCATGATAACCTAGTAACTAATGATTAAAATATATGAAGATCAAATTCATTCGATACAAAAGAAGCGTAACCGCAAAGAATAATTATAACTTCGTGGATTTGTGGAGTGTAATCCACAAAAAAGTAATTAAGTGGCATTCTTAGACTTTTCTAGATGAACCATTCATAAAAACTAATTTGTGTTTTCCTTACAGCTTCAGATACGTTTTTGCACTTAATGTCTTCAGAAACAGACTAATAAAAATAAGTTTAAGTATGTGACATTGTTAGAATTAACTTATCGGTTATCAATTATTTTCAATTCAATTTTTCCTAAAAAAGAAAGTGTTTATCTAGTCTTCTCTTGATAAATTATCTAGAAAATTATATCATTCAAAGTTAATTGTTTTGTTAACAAATAAGTAATAAATGCTCTGTTGAAATGAGAGTTATTAGCGAATAATCAGTAAACATTAACTGAAGTAAGTTACAACGTAAAACTTCGTATGTAAGTACATCAGTTCAGGTTGCCATATCACATTAGCACAGAGACGCAATCGTCAATTCAAATCCCATAGTGGTAGAGATAGTAGAAGAATTACTGCTAATCGAGAAGATTAAGATTTGAAGATAATATTCAAGAAGTATAATTCAGTGAGATGAGTTTAGAAAGACAAAAGTAGACGTGTTGACGAATCCAGAAGATTAGGATTTGAGAGAACACAAAGAGTGGATGCACGTGCGCCTATCGCAAACGATTTTGAGCCATGTCATTCAGGGTATCTAACCATCGGTGACTTTCATCTCGCTGACTCTAACCAGGTAGTCTACATCTGCCAACATGACTCAGTCCACTTGTCAGTGACTTCATGGATTTGTACCATGTTTTGGTTTGGCCACCCACAGCTTTCTCCCGACCTGTTCCTACACCACAAAACATGGCTCGTCGAGGCAGTCGGTGGTTGGGCATCCGTAACAAATGTCTCACCTACCTCAGCTTATGAGTTTTCAATACTTGATCAATTGATCTTCCATCCTTACCTAGTACTCACTTCCTAATTGCAGCAATGCTTACGCGGGTGTCGCACGATAGACGAGCAATGCTTCTAAGACATCTGTAAGCGAATATTAGTAACCTACGAATATTTTCTGCTCTTACCGGTCATGTTTCGTATCCAAATTGTAATGTATCAATCACTACACAACGTTTAGTTATACAGGTATGATCTTATCTGTTACTAAGAAATAAATCTAAATTTCAGAATAATGGTCGTTGATATTATCGAAAAATCAGTTCATTACTTTTTCTCGGAAGCAATTAATCATGATATTCTACAAGCGAATTCAGAATTACTGATATTTTCCCTGGTTTCCAAGCTATGTTGTACTGAGATGAAATAGTTATTTTATATTCTCTTCTTTTCTGAGAACTGATGACTCACTAACATTCACCAAAATTTTGCATATGCAGTAGTAATAATTTAGGGAACAATTGTCAAAACAAATCATTAATATGTTATGATAAGTGCAGAGAAATAATTGAGTTAAGGATAGTATTCGGTAAAAACTTTACGTCTTCATTTCTAGGCATGAATTTGTCAAAATTTATTAATAGAATTTAACTGTACGTTTACATTTTTCAAATAGCTTTTAGCAATGTCAATCAATATGCACTTACTATTAATATTCAATTTGAAACACTAATAAAATTTTTATTGAAAACTGTGAACACTTAATAACACACTGTCGCTTAAGTTTGTAATGTTTTTTTGTGATGAATAGATAGACTGTTTTTGTAAAATTAAGTTAAGTAATTTTAAATTACCTGTTGTTTGATAAGCTAAGGATACAAATTATTATTTTGCTTAAGTGACTAATTATAAGCAAGCATTATATATTTTGTTTCAAATTATTCACTTTAAAATAAGTTATAAACAAAATAGGCTAAACTCAATAGGTATACTTTGCTACGGAGGTAATCAGTAATTGGAGAATTCAATAAAGTTTCATAATTTTTTATCTATGAATTTCATACGTACATCTGTGAACTTAAAGACTATCGTAATCCTAATCGAATTCGATGAAGATTATCTAGTAAATTAGTGTCTCAATGAACACGGTATCAGGTTTTATAACAATACGTTTGGAGACTAAGTCAAATACTTCAGTTTTCGAACTCATATAACATAATTGTGTGTGACTCAAGGTTGAGTGTATAACCATGTATTTAGTGAGTGAAAAGCAATGCATTATTACGGGGATAATTAACAACAGGTCAAACCATACTCACTAACTGAATATTCATACTTAATTTGTAAAATAAGCCGTAGGTAATGCTGGTGAACTTGAAAGTGAAATGAAAATAACCATCATACTAAAAAACTCGAGGTTTAGCATTAGGACTCTATTATATCCACAATTTATGACTAAATTAAATTTAAACGGTATCTCACGGTTGATTTAATGATTTAAATTAACGCTGAGAATGGGACTTAACGAAAATTTATTTAATATCAATATTCTTAATCAATTAAAAGTTTCTTTGAGAAGTGAAGTTTAAGATTTTTTATGTAAAAAATAAATTAAACGCCACTCTGGGAGATGTGTAAAAATATAGAGCTAAGCGAATTTTACGCTCTATGTCTAAGATTTAACTAAACATTGAGTTTCTAAAATGTTGAAAAAATAGTCAAACCTATAACTATAAAATCGATGACGTATTACAGTCAATCGATCAACATTTTAACAATAAGTAACTGTTAAATTAGATCACATTTGCAATTAATTCTAGACACTGTTATTCATGATTCGGAGTTTAACTAAAGCTTGACATTAAAGTAGTTGGAAACACAGTTATGATGTACCTTTGCTAGCAGTAGACAACCATTATTAAATGCATATATATATATATATATATATATATATATATATATACCTAAATGTTACCGATAAAAAACTCAATAAATTCAGATTGTAATGTTAAACTAGTATGTTGATAAAAGCTTCTTAAAATATATTAGGAAGGATAATAGTATGATTTTCGTGTTTATCTCAGTTGCTTCAAAGAAACAGCTATACAAATTGTTGTCCTGATTAGTTTATCCTAATCCTTTATTATTTGTTTGCATTATCTACTAAATGAAAGTAGTAGTGTGACAAAACGAATACACTTGGAATGAATAATATGGTGAAGCTTTTATGTTGTTCGCTTTGGTATAACACAGTGTAATATCAACAGTAGTTTATCATAATATTACTAGGTATCATGCTACCTACAGAATTGTGAGTTACCCTAAAATCCAAACAATACCATTAACATATCAGTATGTTATCTGTTTACTAGTCAAAAAAAATACTCACATCTTATAAATTAAATGATACACGAACTTAATTGTCAATGATTACAGATAATATGGATATTTTTCATATTACTGACTGGTGCAAAACGAATTACTGGCGGAAGAAAGCTTTAGATTTATTCCGGTTACCTGCCATTGCGTAACACTATCAATGTATGAATTGTGTGGATAATCAGTTTTTGAATTCGATATTATTATTTAGTAGGGTTAGAGTTAATATTCCACGTTGTGGGCAGCCGGGAAGTGACAACCGCCTTCATGCACGTAACAGGACACGAGATCAAACTAGTCACAATCAAATCCTTCCTATACCTCCTAACATCCCGCTTATCTTCACGACTAACTCTTCTCACATTCCTTTATCACCCCCTCACCTCTGCTACAAAGGATTCGAGTTCCTGAAGCGTTATTCTTGGTAGCCTTAAACCCCGCTCTAGACTACATGTTGGGAATTTTAATGTACGGACATTGTGTCAAATAGGACAACAGGCTTCCTTAGCGCCATCGATGTTTGCTGCGTCTCCAAAACGCGCATACAAGATTCGAGTAGCGTTATTCACTTGACCTCACCATTTC